GATAAAAACAAATATAAAATCATTCACTTGTATGCACAGCTAAAAAGAACTGTTTTCAGTTCAGTTTTAAAAACTGCTAGAGTAGATACAGCAGTGCATTAGTATCAGTGACACTCAGCAGGTGTGATGCAGTAGTGCATTAGTATCAGTGACACTCAGCAGGTGTGATGTATCAGGGACACGCAGCAGGTGTGATGCAGCAGCAGTGCATTAGTATCAGTGACACGCAGCAGGTGTGATGCAGCAGTGCATTAGTATCAGGGACACGCAGCAGGTGTGATGCAGTAGTGCATTAGTATCAGTGACACTCAGCAGGTGTGATGCAGCAGTGCATTAGTATCAGGGACACGCAGCAGGTGTGATGCAGCAGCAGTGCATTAGTATCAGTGACACTCAGCAGGTGTGATGCAGTAGTGCATTAGTATCAGGGACACTCAGCAGGTGTGATACAGCAGTGCATTAGTATCAGTGACACTCAGCAGGTGTGATACAGCAGTGCATTAGTATCAGTGACACTCAGCAGGTGTGATGCAGTAGTGCATTAGTATCAGTGACACGCAGCAGGTGTGATGCAGTAGTGCATTAGTATCAGTGACACTCAGCAGGTGTGATACAGCAGTGCATTAGTATCAGTGACACTCAGCAGGTGTGATACAGCAGTGCATTAGTATCAGTGACACGCAGCAGGTGTGATGCAGTAGTGCATTAGTATCAGTGACACTCAGCAGGTGTGATACAGCAGTGCATTAGTATCAGGGACACGCAGCAGGTGTGATGCAGCAGTGCATTAGTATCAGTGACACTCAGCAGGTGTGATACAGCAGTGCATTAGTATCAGTGACACGCAGCAGGTGTGATGCAGTAGTGCATTAGTATCAGTGACACGCAGCAGGTGTGATGCAGCAGTGCATTAGTATCAGTGACACTCAGCAGGTGTGATGCAGCAGTGCATTAGTATCAGTGACACTCAGCAGGTGTGATGCAGTAGTGCATTAGTATCAGGGACACGCAGCAGGTGTGATGCAGCAGTGCATTAGTATCAGTGACACTCAGCAGGTGTGATGCAGTAGTGCATTAGTATCAGTGACACGCAGCAGGTGTGATGCAGTAGTGCATTAGTATCAGTGACACGCAGCAGGTGTGATGCAGCAGTGCATTAGTATCAGTGACACTCAGCAGGTGTGATACAGCAGTGCATTAGTATCAGGGACACGCAGCAGGTGTGATGCAGCAGTGCATTAGTATCAGTGACACGCAGCAGGTGTGATGCAGTAGTGCATTAGTATCAGTGACACGCAGCAGGTGTGATGCAGCAGTGCATTAGTATCAGTGACACTCAGCAGGTGTGATACAGCAGTGCATTAGTATCAGTGACACGCAGCAAGTGTGATACAGCAGTGCATTAGTATCAGTGACACTCAGCAGGTGTGATACAGCAGTGCATTAGTATCAGTGACACGCAGCAGGTGTGATACAGCAGCAGTGCATTAGTATCAGTGACACTCAGCAGGTGTGATGCAGTAGTGCATTAGTATCAGTGACACGCAGCAGGTGTGATGCAGCAGTGCATTAGTATCAGTGACACGCAGCAGGTGTGATACAGCAGTGCATTAGTATCAGGGACACGCAGCAGGTGTGATGCAGCAGTGCATTAGTATCAGTGACACGCAGCAGGTGTGATACAGCAGTGCATTAGTATCAGGGACACGCAGCAGGTGTGATACAGCAGCAGTGCATTAGTATCAGTGACACTCAGCAGGTGTGATACAGCAGTGCATTAGTATCAGTGACACGCAGCAGGTGTGATACAGCAGTGCATTAGTATCAGTGACACGCAGCAGGTGTGATGCAGCAGTGCATTAGTATCAGTGACACGCAGCAGGTGTGATACAGCAGTGCATTAGTATCAGGGACACGCAGCAGGTGTGATACAGCAGTGCATTAGTATCAGGGACACTCAGCAGGTGTGATGCAGTAGTGCATTAGTATCAGTGACACGCAGCAGGTGTGATACAGCAGTGCATTAGTATCAGGGACACGCAGCAGGTGTGATGCAGCAGTGCATTAGTATCAGGGACACGCAGCAGGTGTGATGCAGCAGTGCATTAGTATCAGTGACACTCAGCAGGTGTGATGCAGTAGTGCATTAGTATCAGTGACACGCAGCAGGTGTGATACAGCAGTGCATTAGTATCAGGGACACGCAGCAGGTGTGATGCAGCAGTGCATTAGTATCAGGGACACGCAGCAGGTGTGATGCAGCAGTGCATTAGTATCAGTGACACTCAGCAGGTGTGATGCAGTAGTGCATTAGTATCAGTGACACGCAGCAGGTGTGATGCAGCAGTGCATTAGTATCAGTGACACTCAGCAGGTGTGATACAGCAGTGCATTAGTATCAGTGACACGCAGCAGGTGTGATACAGCAGTGCATTAGTATCAGTGACACTCAGCAGGTGTGATACAGCAGTGCATTAGTATCAGTGACACGCAGCAGGTGTGATACAGCAGCAGTGCATTAGTATCAGTGACACTCAGCAGGTGTGATGCAGTAGTGCATTAGTATCAGTGACACGCAGCAGGTGTGATGCAGCAGTGCATTAGTATCAGTGACACGCAGCAGGTGTGATACAGCAGTGCATTAGTATCAGGGACACGCAGCAGGTGTGATGCAGCAGTGCATTAGTATCAGTGACACGCAGCAGGTGTGATACAGCAGTGCATTAGTATCAGGGACACGCAGCAGGTGTGATACAGCAGCAGTGCATTAGTATCAGTGACACTCAGCAGGTGTGATACAGCAGTGCATTAGTATCAGTGACACGCAGCAGGTGTGATACAGCAGTGCATTAGTATCAGTGACACGCAGCAGGTGTGATGCAGCAGTGCATTAGTATCAGTGACACGCAGCAGGTGTGATACAGCAGTGCATTAGTATCAGGGACACGCAGCAGGTGTGATACAGCAGTGCATTAGTATCAGGGACACTCAGCAGGTGTGATGCAGTAGTGCATTAGTATCAGTGACACGCAGCAGGTGTGATACAGCAGTGCATTAGTATCAGGGACACGCAGCAGGTGTGATGCAGCAGTGCATTAGTATCAGGGACACGCAGCAGGTGTGATGCAGCAGTGCATTAGTATCAGTGACACTCAGCAGGTGTGATGCAGTAGTGCATTAGTATCAGTGACACGCAGCAGGTGTGATACAGCAGTGCATTAGTATCAGGGACACGCAGCAGGTGTGATGCAGCAGTGCATTAGTATCAGGGACACGCAGCAGGTGTGATGCAGCAGTGCATTAGTATCAGTGACACTCAGCAGGTGTGATGCAGTAGTGCATTAGTATCAGTGACACGCAGCAGGTGTGATGCAGTAGTGCATTAGTATCAGTGACACGCAGCAGGTGTGATGCAGCAGTGCATTAGTATCAGTGACACTCAGCAGGTGTGATACAGCAGTGCATTAGTATCAGTGACACGCAGCAGGTGTGATACAGCAGCAGTGCATTAGTATCAGTGACACTCAGCAGGTGTGATGCAGTAGTGCATTAGTATCAGTGACACGCAGCAGGTGTGATGCAGCAGTGCATTAGTATCAGTGACACGCAGCAGGTGTGATACAGCAGTGCATTAGTATCAGGGACACGCAGCAGGTGTGATGCAGCAGTGCATTAGTATCAGTGACACGCAGCAGGTGTGATGCAGCAGTGCATTAGTATCGTTGACACTCAGCAGGTGTGATACAGCAGTGCATTAGTATCAGTGACACTCAGCAGGTGTGATGCAGCAGTGCATTAGTATCAGTGACACGCAGCAGGTGTGATACAGCAGTGCATTAGTATCAGGGACACGCAGCAGGTGTGATACAGCAGTGCATTAGTATCAGTGACACTCAGCAGGTGTGATACAGCAGTGCATTAGTATCAGTGACACGCAGCAGGTGTGATGCAGTAGTGCATTAGTATCAGTGACACGCAGCAGGTGTGATGCAGCAGTGCATTAGTATCAGTGACACTCAGCAGGTGTGATACAGCAGTGCATTAGTATCAGTGACACGCAGCAGGTGTGATACAGCAGCAGTGCATTAGTATCAGTGACACTCAGCAGGTGTGATGCAGTAGTGCATTAGTATCAGTGACACGCAGCAGGTGTGATGCAGCAGTGCATTAGTATCAGTGACACGCAGCAGGTGTGATACAGCAGTGCATTAGTATCAGGGACACGCAGCAGGTGTGATGCAGCAGTGCATTAGTATCAGTGACACGCAGCAGGTGTGATGCAGCAGTGCATTAGTATCGTTGACACTCAGCAGGTGTGATACAGCAGTGCATTAGTATCAGTGACACTCAGCAGGTGTGATGCAGCAGTGCATTAGTATCAGTGACACGCAGCAGGTGTGATACAGCAGTGCATTAGTATCAGGGACACGCAGCAGGTGTGATACAGCAGCAGTGCATTAGTATCAGTGACACTCAGCAGGTGTGATACAGCAGTGCATTAGTATCAGTGACACGCAGCAGGTGTGATACAGCAGTGCATTAGTATCAGTGACACTCAGCAGGTGTGATGCAGTAGTGCATTAGTATCAGTGACACGCAGCAGGTGTGATGCAGCAGCAGTGCATTAGTATCAGTGACACGCAGCAGGTGTGATACAGCAGTGCATTAGTATCAGGGACACGCAGCAGGTGTGATGCAGCAGTGCATTAGTATCAGTGACACGCAGCAGGTGTGATGCAGCAGTGCATTAGTATCAGTGACACGCAGCAGGTGTGATGCAGCAGTGCATTAGTATCAGTGACACGCAGCAGGTGTGATGCAGCAGTGCATTAGTATCAGTGACACGCAGCAGGTGTGATGCAGCAGTGCATTAGTATCAGTGACACGCAGCAGGTGTGATGCAGCAGTGCATTAGTATCAGTGACACGCAGCAGGTGTGATGCAGCAGTACATTAGTATCAGTGACACGCAGCAGGTGTGAAGTCTGTTTGTTCCCACAGAGAGATGAAGAAGGGGAACATTGGTCTTGCTCTGGGGATGGTGGGACAGAAGCTCAGGACGGCGATGGGCGGCAGCGTGGACCACGGTCTGACCGGGAAGGACGGTCTGGTTCATCCCAGTTTAGCAGTAAGTCACACATTAGAGCCACCTCAGGCCCGTGGGCCAAACCCGGCCGCCAGCCCATTGTCAGTGGCCCCTCAAAGGATTTTAAAAGATTATATTAAAGGTTTATTAAAGGTTAGAGGATTTTCCCAAACTTTAGGAAAGAACCGCCCTCTCCACTTTTTTAACAAAACTCTCTGCTCTCATTGGACGAGCACGTATCAGCAGAATGATTGACAGTTAGGAGGACCAATAGTGTTGATGATCCACCCGGAAGTAGACCTTTAACTGTAACTGTATGTTATTATTTATCTTGGTCAACTTTCACTTTTATTGCAATGTTTTTTTAGTAACCTGCACTTTAGATTTGAACTGTGTATTATTATGTACGTTTTATGATTGTGTTGTCATGACGACGGGTGGAAAGGAGCTGGTGCAGCATCTTTCTCAAGCACATTGTCCTTAAAGTTTCAAACTGAAGCAGCAGCATTGATGGGAGGCTGCGACGGCACATATTTGAATCTTTTTATCTCAAGAAAACGACCGTATTATTTAAGTTATTCAGAAATGTCAAAACAACCAACATCTGATTAGAAGTTTTGTTGTTAAGTATTTTTTTTCAGACTTCAAATACATCTGTTCTTTAAATATGGTCCAGTTTTGGTTCCATCCACAGTAACTGAACTAATTCTGTTCGATCAGAGAAGAATCGAAATATTGTGGAAGACTTTTATGAAAAAACCTTCATTATGGACAAAAATATGTAAACAAAACTTGGCCCTGAACGTTGTGTCTCACTGAGATCAGACAAACTGTTGATCTCAGGATGGAAACGACTCTGATCCGTTTTTAGGAAAGTGCAAAGATGTTGGAGCAGAACGTGTCGCTGTTCGGGACGACGGTGGAGAGTCTGCTCTACAGATACGGGAAGGTACTGTAGGCCGGGGCCAGGACCGAGGCCAGGACCGAGGCCGGGACTGGTCTGGTCTGTGTTCTCGGCAGTAGGGTTGGGGTCTCAGTCTGAGTGTGTTTTCAGACGGTGGTGGACGAGCAGCTGGTTCTGAAGCGTGTGGCAGACGTCCTCATTAACCTTTACGCCATGACCGCGGTTCTGTCCCGGACCAGCCGCTCCATCAGCATCGGGCTGCGGCACCACGACCACGAGGTGAGAACGAGCTCTGGGTGAAATATGGCACTTGTTCAGACGCACACACGCAATAATGAAATAATGTGGATTTAGTTACTCAGGATTAAACATGTACGTTTACAGGATAAGTCTTTCACAGTGTCCTGGACATTTACAACATCAAGACATAAAAACTAAAAGAGAAAACACATGAAAGACACACAAGTGGAACCAATAAAACACACAAAAAAATCAGAAATATTTCATATAAAACCAGTAGAATGTGCAGAATTATAATTTTATACGGCTTCACCTGTTTACAGCTGTTTGTAGGGCGGCACGGTGGCAGAGTGAATAGCACTCTCGCCTCTCAGCAAGAAGGTCCTGGGTTCGAATCCCGGTTGGACCAGGGCCTTTCTGAGTGGAGTTTGCATGTTCTCCTCGTGTCTGCGTAGGTTTCCTCCGGGTACTCCGGTTTCCCCTACCACTAAAAATATGTACAATAGGTCTGGCATGTGCCTCCTGTTCTGGCACCCGCACTCCCAAAAAAAATAAAAATAACAATTGTAAACCGCTTTGAGACTCCGATGTGCAGTGAAAAGGCGGTATATACAGTGCCTTGCGAAAGTATTCGGCCCCCTTGAACCTTTCAACATTTTGCCACATTTCAGGCTTCAAACATAAAGATATAAAATTTAAATGTTTTGTCATGAATCAACAACAAGTGGGACACAATCGTGAAGTGGAACAAAATTTATTGGATAATTTAAACTTTTTTAACAAATAAAAAACTGAAAAGTGGGGTGTGCAATATTATTGGGCCCCTTTACTTTCAGTGCAGCAAACTCAGTCCAGAAGTTCAGTGAGGATCTTTGAATGATCCAATGTTGTCCTAAATGACTGATGACGATAAATAGAATGCACCTGTGTGTAATCAAGTCTCCGTATAAATGCACCTGCTCTTTGATAGTCTCAGGGTTCTGTTTAAAGCGCAGAGAGAACCATGAAGACAAAGGAACACACCAGGCAGGTCCGAGATACTGTTGTGGAGAAGTTTAAAGCCGGATTTGGATACAAAAAGATTTCCCAAGCTTTAAACATCTCAAGGAGCACTGTGCAAGCAATTATATTGAAATGGAAGGAGTATCAGACCACTGCAAATCTACCAAGACCTGGCTGTCCCTCCAAACTTTCATCTCAAACAAGGAGAAGACTGATCAGAGATGCAGCCAAGAGGCCCATGATCACTCTGGATGAACTGCAGATAACTACAGCTGAGGTGGGAGAGTCTGTCCATAGGACAACAATCAGTCGTGCACTGCACAAATCTGGCCTTTATGGAAGAGTGGCAAGAAGGAAGCCATTTCTCAAAGATATCCATAAAAAGTCTGGTTTAAAGTTTGCCACAAGCCACCTGGGAGACACACCAAACATGTGGAAGAAGGTGCTCTGGTCAGATGAAACCAAAATCAAACTTTTTGGCCACAATGCAAAACGATATGTTTGGCGTGAAAGCAACACAGCTCATCACCCTGAACACACCATCCCCACCTCAGCTGTAGTTATCTGCAGTTCATCCAGAGTGATCATGGGCCTCTTGGCTGCATCTCTGATCAGTCTTCTCCTTGTTTGAGATGAAAGTTTGGAGGGACGGCCGGGTCTTGGTAGATTTGCAGTGGTCTGATACTCCTTCCATTTCAATATAATTGCTTGCACAGTGCTCCTTGAGATGTTTAAAGCTTGGGAAATCTTTTTGTATCCAAATCCGGCTTTAAACTTCTCCACAACAGTATCTCGGACCTGCCTGGTGTGTTCCTTTGTCTTCATGGTTCTCTCTGCGCTTTAAACAGAACCCTGAGACTATCAAAGAGCAGGTGCATTTATACGGAGACTTGATTACACACAGGTACATTCTATTTATCATCATCAGTCATTTAGGACAACATTGGATCATTCAAAGATCCTCACTGAACTTCTGGACTGAGTTTGCTGCACTGAAAGTAAAGGGGCCCAATAATATTGCATGCCCCACTTTTCAGTTTTTTATTTGTTAAAAAAGTTTAAATTATCCAATACATTTCGTTCCACTTCACGATTGTGTCCCACTTGTTGTTGATTCATGACAAAACATTTAAATTTTATATCTTTATGTTTGAAGCCTGAAATGTGGCGAAATGTTGAAAGGTTCAAGGGGGCCGAATACTTTCGCAAGGCACTGTAAATAAAGATTACTTACTACTACTACTACTTACTACAGTGTGATCGTTTCCATAGTTACGCAGAGTAAACAAATGTGGCTGCAGCAGACTACAAAGTAAACCTGAAACATTTGTTTTTCCTCCGTAACCGTGGAAACGATGGTCACAGAGGATCAGGTTCCTCTTCTTTACTGTGTGAGGTGTTTGGGAAAGAGCAGAGGACTCAAAACAGACGTTAGAATATAAGAAATACAAGTTTAATGTCAAAAACATTCTTAATGTGTTCTGGTTTATTAGGAGCGGTGGCAGAATGTTTGATTGTTTGAGAGAGATGTTGATTGACCGACACAGATCAGAGAATCAAACACAGACTTAGTGTTTTTCTGTGTCAATGATCATTTCTAAACTGATCCAGAGAATGTGAGACTGAAAACACATGGTCCACACATGGTCCACACATGGTCCAAACACATGGTCCAAACACATGGTCCAAACACACGGTCCAAACACACAGTCCAAACACACGGTCCAAACACATGGTCCAAACACATGGTCCAAACACATGGTCCAAACACATGGTCCAAACACATGGTCCAAACACATGGTCCAAACACATGGTCCAAACACATGGTCCAAACACATGGTCCAAACACATGGTCCAAACATGATCCAAACACATGGTTCAAACATGGTCTCATCATCAGGACCATGAAGAGACAACATGATCCAAACACATGGTCCAAACATGGTCTCATCATCAGGACCATGAAGAGACCAGAGCTAAGAACCCTTTCTGTGGATCAGACTTTAACAGGATTAAAACACAGAACAGAACATTTAAGAGCAGAGTCTGGTCCTCACTAGGTCCTCACTAGGTCCTCACTAGGTCCTCACTAGGTCCTCACTAAGACCTCACTAAGACCTCACTAAGACCTCACTAAGACCTCACTAAGACCTCACTAAGACCTCACTAAGACCTCACTAAGACCTCACTAAGACCTCACTAAGACCTCACTAACAGATTCTCCTGTGTCTTGGTTTCCTCCAGGTGCTGCTGGCAAACACTTTCTGCACCGAGGCGCACTTTAAGAGCAATTACCTGATGGCGCAGCTGCAGAAGCGTAAGTCTGTTTTTATGAACGTGGAACAATCATGTCGTAAGGTTGGTATTTTAGAAGAAGAAGAAGAAATACTTTATTGATTTCACAAAGAAGACATTTGATGAATATTCATTTACACGTTTCTCATCAAGCTTTTAGTGAGCTGTTATTTCCACGCTCCTTTTAGGCAAAGTGGGGTTAGGCTCGCCAAAGGATTTAGAAATGAACAAATCAAATAAACTTCATATTCTTCATGATTGTAAATGCACTTTGTGCTCTAGTAACAAATATGTGATGATAAATAACGACTGTAGCCAATATATCATTTTTTGTCCCCGTGACGCTTAAAGGAGTAGCTCTCTGCCTTTATCGTTCCGGGAAAGTAGCTCTCTGGGTGAAAAAGGTTGGAGACACCTGGCCTACATCATGTACAGGCTACTAGCTCTCTGTGCTCTGACATGGACCTAGCCACAAGTGTCTCTGATGATCATGAATAATTAACCAGTTATTAATATTATTATTATTATAATTATCACAGCATGACTACAGATCCATTCATCTGATATTTCTGTCTTCACTCGTCACTTTACTGCTGGTATCGTTACTATCGTTACTATTGTCCGCTGCTAAAGTACAATAAACACATCTGTAAATACTTCTGAACCATGTGACATCATGGATCCAGAGTTAGAACATGCCATGGTATCGCTCGTTACCATCGAAGCTGCAGGTTGATAATAACAATAGAAAATCCTTGTAGGAGCCACTAACATGGTGTCGTGGCCCAGAGTTTACCCACTCACGGTTTGATCTCTGTTCCAGACTCTCCAGAGAACAACGACGCCAACATCAAGAAAATCGCAAAAGTGGTTTTAGAAAACAGGTCGTACGTCTGCTCCCACCCCCTGGAGAGAACCTTCTGACCACGCCCTGACCCCACCCCCTGGAGAGAACCTTCTGACCACGCCCTGACCCCACCCCCTGGAGAGAACCTTCTGACCACGCCCTGACCCCACCCCCTGGAGAGAACCTTCTGACCACGCCCTGACCCCACCCCCTGGAGAGAACCTTCTGACCACGCCCTGACCCCACCCCCTGGAGAGAACCTTCTGACCACGCCCTGACCCCACCCCCTGGAGAGAACCTTCTGACCACGCCCTGACCCCACCCCCTGGAGAGAACCTTCTGACCACGCCCTGACCCCACCCCCTGGAGAGAACCTTCTGACCACGCCCTGACCCCACCCCCTGGAGAGAACCTTCTGACCACGCCCTGACCCCACCCCCTGGAGAGAACCTTCTGACCACGCCCTGACCCCACCCCCTGGAGAGAACCTTCTGACCACGCCCTGACCCCACCCCCTGGAGAGAACCCTCTGACCACGCCCCCACCCTCTGACCACGCCCTGACCCCCCCCCCTGGAGAGAACCTTCTGACCACGGGCTACCCCCACCCTCTGGAGAGAACCCTCTGACCACGCCCCCACCCTCTGACCACGCCCTGACCCCACCCCCTGGAGAGAACCTTCTGACCTGACCACGCCCTTACTCCACCCCCTGGAGGGAACCTTCTGACCACGCCCTGACCCCACCCCCTGGAGAGAACCTTCTGACCACGCCCCCACCCTCTGACCACGCCCTGACCCCACCCCCTGGAGGGAACCTTCTGACCACGCCCTTACCCCACCCCCTGGAGGGAACCTTCTGATCACGCCCTGACCCCACCCCCTGGAGAGAACCTTCTGACCACGCCCTGACCCCACCCCCTGGAGAGAACCTTCTGACCACGCCCTGCTCCAGCAACATTCACCCTAACCCGCGCTCCTCGTTATTAACGCCTGTGTTTCTCAGACGATACTGGCTCCAGGAGGTTTGGATCAGTCTCTGTCACAGCTCACTGTAAAAATGATCAAAGATGAGGAAATAACGCTTGAATCTAGAGTTTTTATCTTAATCTGACACTTTCTGACTTAAAACCAGATTCTCAAACGGGACAAAGACATTTAGTCCTTTTTCATGAACTGTCTTTATTTCCTCCTAAAGAAGACATTTCTGTATCTTTTTAGAACAAGATTTTTTTCCTTTGTTCCACTGGAGAATCTGAGGCTCAGTCAGAATGAGTCAGATTAAAACACATTTGCTAAATTTTAGCAAATTTTGACTTATTTTTTGTTACTTTTTGCAGAAAATAGATTCACTCGTTATAACAGTATTACTTATTTTCAAATTATTATTGAGTCAATCTGTAAAGTGCTATAATATGCAGTCTAAGCCAAGCAGTCCAGGAATTTACATGAACTGGAGTCTTTTGGCCACAGAGGGCAGATTTCTGATCGGGGTCTTTCTCAGATTCAGATTCTTTGCCATCTGCAGTAAAACCAGTCTGAAAACACGTTTATTTGCCAAAGAAATGGCTTCACAAAAACACGAACAATGAATGAAATACTGTTTTTCTGTTTCTTTCATATTCCTTCCTGAAGCTCTGTCTCAGTCTGGATCCTGATGTTTAACTAAAGTGCTCTTTCTCTTTGATCTTTGTAGACTCTTTAACTTCATGTGTTTTTGTAGAAATCTCTTGTGAAAATAATTTAACATAAAAATATGAAGACACTGATGTTTGTGTTGATCTTTATGAACTCTCGTGTGATGCTCTGGGAGGAGTCAGTGCTGCTGCTGTCGGGGCCCGGGGCCAAAGCTCCTCTGTGTGAGAGTGGACCACAGAGTGGACCACAGAGTGGACCACAGAGTGGACCACAGAGTGGACCACAGGGTGGACCACAGGGTGGACCACAGGGTGGACCACAGGGTGGACCACAGGGTGGACGCAGGAGGGAGAAAGACTGTTAAAGTGTGAAGGGAAATCTACAGTTTCTCATCACAGGACTAACCAGGCACTGCCCTGCTTAGCTTCAGAGGTCTGACAGGATCTGGCTCATGACCTGCTATGATTTAACCAAGTAGTTTTCATAAAGTTGTCTTTCTTCAGTGATATTTGCTGCAGAAGAATAGTCTGAGGGACCTCAGCTGTCAATCAAAGACTTGGATTTATTGCGTCCAATCAGGAAGCTTTGGGGGCGGGGCTAACTTTGATAAATGTCTCCATCTCAAACAATGAAAAGTAAAAGTGACCTTGACTTTACTGTTTGTATCTGTCCACTGTACCTGTGGCCCTGTACCTGTGATACCAGGGTTCCTCAGGGACGGCAGTTCTTCTTTGAAACATGTTTTCACAGTTTAACCTCAGGATCAGAGTTTATTGTCTGCTGCAGAGTTTCTCCTGAAACAAAAACACAGAATCATTAAAGACACTGGCCCTGACTGTGGAGAGAGAGACTGTAGAGAGAGACTGTGGAGAGAGACTGGACAGACTGTGGAGAGATTCATTTTAGTTTAGTGCTGTTAAAGAATTCAAATATTTAATCTCTAACTTTATCAAAATAAAGAAGTACAGTTCTATAACTTTAGCCTAAGATCACACTCACCTGGTCACAGTCCTGGTGTTTCCTGCTCTGGTCGTTCCTGGGTTAGGGTTCCTGCTGCTGCTGCTGCTGCTGCTGCTGCCTTTGGTAAAGTGTCCTCAGACTCTGAACCATCTCCTCTGAGGGGAACAGGTCGAGCTTCACTGCGTCTCTGAGGGTCCTGACCTCTCGCAGCTGCGACAGTCTGAGAACAACCACAGTAAATACTGTGAGACAGTTTCTGTTTCTGCTACAACTGAGACGTTTATCACTCTTTCATGAACTGTTCCTTGCTTTAAGCCTAAAACAAGAAGATGTTGCAGTGTCTCCTTGTACCTGAGGAGACCCTGTGAATCTCGTTGGCGTGTACCTGAGGAGACCCTGTGAATCTCGTTGGCGTGTACCTGAGGAGACCCTGTGAATCTCGTTGGCGTGCTGTACCTGAGGAGACCCTGTGAATCTCGTTGGCGTGCTGTACCTGAGGAGACCCTGTGAATCTCGTTGGCGTGCTGTACCTGAGGAGACCCTGTGAATCTCGTTGGCGTGTACCTGAGGAGACCCTGTGGATCTTGTTGGCATGCTGTACCTGAGGAGACCCTGTGGATCTCGTTGGCGTGTACCTGAGGAGACCCTGTGAATCTCGTTGGCGTGTACCTGAGGAGACCCTGTGAATCTCGTTGGCGTGCTGTACCTGAGGAGACCCTGTGAATCTCGTTGGCGTGCTGTACCTGAGGAGACCCTGTGAATCTCGTTGGCGTGCTGTACCTGAGGAGACCCTGTGAATCTCGTTGGCGTGTACCTGAGGAGACCCTGTGGATCTTGTTGGCGTGCTGTACCTGAGGAGACCCTGTGGATCTTGTTGGCGTGTACCTGAGGAGACCCTGTGAATCTCGTTGCCGTGTACCTGAGGAGACCCAGTGGATCTCGTTCGCGTGTACCTGAGCAGACCCTGTGAATCTCGTTGGCGTGTATCTGAGCAGACCCTGTGAATCTCGTTGGCGTGCTGTACCTGAGGAGACCCTGTGGATCTTGTTGGCGTGCTGTACCTGAGCAGACCCTGTGAATCTCGTTGCCGTGTACCTGAGGAGACCCTGTGGATCTCGTTCTCGTGTACCTGAGCAGACCCTGTGAATCTCGTTGGCGTGTATCTGAGCAGACCCTGTGAATCTCGTTGGCGTGCTGTACCTGAGCACACCCTGTGAATCTCGTTGGCGTGTACCTGAGCAGACCCTGTGGATCTCGTTGGCGTGCTGTACCTGAGCAGACCCTGTGGCTCTCGTTGGCATGTACCTGAGCAGACCCTGTGAATCTCGTTGGCGTGTACCTGAGCAGACCCTGTGGATCTCGTTGGCGTGTACCTGAGGAGACCCTGTGAATCTTGTTGGCGTGCTGTACCTGAGGAGACCCTGTGGATCTCGTTGGCGTGTACCTGAGAAGACCCTGTGGATCTCGTTGGCGTGTACCTGAGGAGACCCTGTGGATCTCGTTGGCGTGTACCTGAGCAGACCCTGTGGATCTCGTTGGCGTGTACCTGAGCAGACCCTGTGGATCTCGTTGGCGTGTACCTGAGGAGACCCTGTGGATCTCGTTGGCGTGTACCTGAGCAGACCCTGTGGATCTCGTTGGCGTGTACCTGAGCAGACCCTGTGGATCTCGTTGGCGTGTACCTGAGGAGACCCTGTGGATCTCGTTGGCGTGTACCTGAGGAGACCCTGTGGATCTCGTTGGCGTGTACCTGAGGAGACCCTGTGAATCTCGTTGGCGTGTACCTGAGGAGACCCTGTGAATCTCGTTGGCGTGTACCTGAGCAGACCCTGTGAATCTCGTTGGCGTGTACCTGAGGAGACCCTGTGGATCTCGTTGGCGTGTACCTGAGCAGACCCTGTGAATCTCGTTGGCGTGTACCTGAGCAGACCCTGTGGATCTCGTTGGCGTGTACCTGAGGAGACCCTGCAGACAGGACGAGGGGACGATGCCTCTGACGAAGACGAGCGGCTGCTTCATGATGGAGTCCAGAGTCTGTGGGAGCAGGACCGGCCTCAGGCTCAGGTCCAGTCTGGGGTAAAGGCGTTTGGAGAAAGACAGACCAGGATCACAGACCACCTGCTGTTTACTCCTGCGTCGCCTAAAACCACCACAGACTCAACAGAATCAAAACAGAATCTCAAACATCAACAGAAACACGAGCAAAACGCTGCAAAAAATGATCAAATATGAGAAAAATGATCAAATATGAGGAAATAAAAGTTTGAATCCAGAGGTTTTTATCTTAATCTGAAACTTTCTGACTTAAAACCAGATTCTCCAACGGGACAGTCATTTAGTCTCATTTCAATAACTCTTTTATTTTCTCCTTTGAGGCCATAGCTGCAGGTGAAGCCAGATCCCATCAGACCTTTGAAGCTAAGCAGGGCAGGGCTTGGTTAATACTGTGATGGGAGACCTCTGGGAACAGCAGGTGCCACAGTGGGGCGGCTGCGGCTGTAAAGTACCAGACTGTGGTTGTGTCCTTAGGCAAGACACTTCCTCCACATTAGAATGAGTCTGGTGTGTGTGTGAATGGTTGGTGGTGGTGGGAGGGGCCGACTGGTTGCCTCGCTTCTGTCAGTGTGCCCCAGGGCAGCTGTGGCTACAGTAGTAGTTTATTATCACCGTGTTTGGAGAGAATATTATTATTCATTTCAAGAGAGACATTTCTGTATCTTTTTAAAACCTTGATCATGTTTGGTCCCATTGGAGAATCTGGTTTAAGGCGCAGTCAGAATGAGTCAGATTAAGACAAATATATTCTATTTCTGACTTATTCCTTGTTGCCTCCTGATCCTTCACTTACTCCTTAAAAACTGTTTCCAGGAGTCTCTTCACAGCTTCTCGTCTGAGTCCTTCAACTACAACGATGTGAGTCTTGGTGTCGACCACATGGAACCCGGAGATAAAGTCCAGACCGGTCTGAGATCCCAGACTGTGTTGGAACCGAGTGGCGAGGTTGGACAGAGCGTTCTCTGAGCTCTCGGTGTCGTTCTGGTCCAGGTCAAAGGCGTCTCTGTTGCTCTTCAGGATCTGCAGCCGGAGCTTTTCCATCCCTTCCACATCGTCGCAGCCGAACACACAGACCACACGGCCAAACTCCGCTCCGTGGCTGCAGAGCTGAAGAGGACGCGCCAGCTTCACTCTCACTCTGAGCTGGGAGTTTGCATCGACGTAAGGACCGGGTGGGACCGACGGGTCCAGGTCCGGTCTGCAGCCTCTGATTGGGAGACAGACTTTGAGGTCGGTCGCTCCGAGGAGAAGCTCTGAGAGACTGAGGCCCGCCACGCCGTAAGAATCAAACGGTTCTTTCTTCTTTCTGGTTTGACCTCCGAGACCACAGCGGGCCGGCTTCCTGTCGCGGTCGTGGACTTCTATCTGCATGGGGGGTCCGGAGAGAAACTCGTGGAGGTCTTGGGGATTCAGCAAACCAGTGAGGATCACGTTCATGTCGTTGAAGTGGATTTTTGCGCCGTGTTTTTCGTAATTAGTCTTGTGCTTTGGGAGATTGAGGAATGAGTACTGGCAGTGCACAGGCAGGCACTGGTCCTGGGGAGAACAAGGGAAATATATGATCCAAATGTCATGGTTAGGTTTATTTCATGCTTGATTTTACAGTTTGTTAAATCCCTGTGTCTTTAGTTGTACTTCCTGTGTGATGCCCCGCCCCCATGTGTCTCACCTGTGTCTCATTGGTCTGTTTTTAAACCCTGTGTGTTCCTGCACTTCCTGTTCTATCATTGTCTTTCCCGCGTATGTCTCGGTTCTGTCCTCGTTCTGTGTTTTCTCTGGATTTTGATTTGTTTTACTTTTATTAAATCCGTTATTTTGCAGTTCTGTGTTTTTGGGCTCATTTCATTTCACACATGTGACACAAATAGTTTGAACGCTGCTAAAAGTGATGAAAAACAAGTCAAAAACGGCTCAGATTTGGTCAAATATCTTCATCTGAGCCTCAAAACTAGATTCTCCAACGGGACAAAGTAAAATGATCTTGTTTTAAACAGATGCAGAAATGTCTCCTTTGGAATGAGGAAGTAAAGCAACAGTTCTTGAAATAAAACTAAATGTCTGTCCCGTTGGAGAGTCTGGTTTTAAGTCAGATTAAGATAAACATATTTCCTCATGGTTTGGTGCACACGGGGTCAGTCTTGGACAGTGTTTCAGTATCTTGTATCAGTGTAGAGGTTTGAAGGCAGACACCTGGACCGGGGCGGGGGGCATGGAGCTCGCTGACAGGACGGTGAGGACCATTGGGTTCAGATCCGTTTCCAAAGCGTCCGACAACAAAGGTTTGTGGAGAGAAACGTGGATCACAAAGTCGATGACGCCGCAGCAGCGAAGCGAGGCCCAGTGGCTCAGAGTCCGTTCTCCTGCGGACAGAGGTTCACAAACTGAGGCCGGGCCGACTTTACATTTACAGGTTCGACTTCGAGGATTCTATTGAAGAAAAAAGACGCAGATACAGCTCGTCCGTCTGGATGTTGTGATGTCACATGACGCAGCCTGTGTCACCTGCTAAGAGCCTGATGGGGCTGAAGTGCAGAGAAGCAGGACCTTCTGAGTCACACGTCGCTGTAGAACGATCCTTTGGACTCAGACGTCTCATCTCTGACACCATCGACTTCACACCATCTGCAACACACACCTCTGGTATTTACATTTATGTGTCGTGTGTATTTGTGACATTTGAGCCCATTTCTAACTTTCTTCTGATGGTCTCTGGAGTCATGAGACAGAACAACAGCAGGTCTGTGAGAACATGTGCTGTGTTTGATCTTTTTGATAATGACGTATCATTCTCACTAAGAGCAGTTTCTCACTGGTTCTGTCCTCGTTCTGGATCTGACCGAGGCTGAAGGCACTGGGCCTGAAGTGACTAAATGTGTTCTGATAATGCCATTAACTCTTTAACACATAACTTTTATCCAACACTTTTTAGACGACGCGATGAACAGTCCTGAAATACTACACTTTCACAAATGTCACAAAGTAAAAATACAGTCCATTGTTTTCACAGATTATCCACATTCATCCACATTTATGGACCAATGTGTCTGTCTTTGCATTTCCTGTGTTTGAACTGCTTGATTCTCTAATCTGTTGTTGTAAAGTCCTCTGAAAACTACTGTTTTGATTTAGGGCAATACACAAATAAATTGGATTGAAAAGTTTTTTGGCCTCTGTCACATCTTTAGATTCACTTTTTCTGCTCTCTCTCTGGTCTCTCTCTCTCTGGTCTCTCTCTGGTCTCTCTCTGGTCTCTCTCTGGTCTCTCTCTGGTCTCTCTCTGGTCTCTGGTCTCTCTCTGGTCTCTCTCTGGTCGCTCTCGGGTCTCTCTGGTCTCTCTCTGGTCTCTCTCTGGTCTCTCTCTGGTCTCTCTCTGGTCTCTCTCTGGTCTCTCTCTGGTCTCTCTCTGGTCTCTCTGGTCTCTCTCTCTGGTCTCTGGTCTCTCTCTGGTCTCTCTCTGGTCTCTCTCTGGTCTCTCTCTGGTCTCTCTCTCAGACTCACCACAGGTCTCCATGTCCTCCATCATGACCCGGGCCCTCCCCATCCTGTCGGAGCGAGCCTGGAGGCCCAGCTGGTCTCTCTGGTTCCAGATGTGGACCGTGCTCTGATGCTGAAGGATCTGAATAGTTTTGTCTCTGCAGAGGTTCACGCTCAGGTCCTGGGTCCATCCGAGCCACGTCTGCCCTGCCTCACTCCAGGTTTGTAGGACCTGAGCAAAACAACCACTGATCGTTAAGTAGCAAACTGTAAATGTGCAAATATCCATAACTTTACATTAATGACTCAGAGACTTTGGTCTCTGCTCCTTTTGGACCAATGTCTCTGTGTTTGTTATTGTTGCATTTCCTGTGTTTGAACTCTTTGATTCTCTAACCTGTTGTTGGAGAATAGACAGCTTTGTAAAGTCCTCTGAGAAAACTACTGTTTTGAATAAATTGATTTAAATTGAATTCGGATTGACTCTTTAACCGAGGTAAATTCCCAGATTGTGACTTCCTGTTACCCATCCATCAATTTTCTTCTGCTTCATCCGTTACCGGGTCGCGGGGGAAGCCATCTAACCCGGGGGGGTCATGATGGAGGACATGGAGACCTGTGGTGAGTCTGAGAGAGAGACCAGAGAGAGACCAGAGAGAGACCAGAGAGAGAGCTTTCCCAGAGGGAGACCCTCAACTGGTTCCTCTCGACGTGGAGAAGCAGTGGCTCTACTCCGAGCTCCTCCCGTGTGACTGAGCTCCTCACCCTATCTCTAAGGGAGCAGCCACTCTGCGGAGGAAGCTCATTTCGACCGCTTGTATCCACGATCTCGTTCTTTCGGTCATTACCCAAAGCTCATGACCATAGGTGAGGGAGGGGACGAAGATTGACCGGTAAATTGAGAGCTTTGCCTTTCGGCTCAGCTCCCTCTTTACCACAACGGTGCGATACAGCTCTGACTGCAGACGCTGCTCCCTCTTTACCACCACGGTCCGATACAGCTCTGACTGCAGACGCTGCTCCCTCTTCACCACCACGGTCCGATACAGCTCTGACTGCAGACGCTGCTCCCTCTTTACCACAACGGTCCGATACAGCGACCGCATCACTGCGCACGCTGCACCAATCCGCCTGTCAATCTCACGCAAATTTCCCCGAAATTTCCCCACTGTGGGAGGAATAAAGGAACTCTTATCTTACCTTATCTCGTGAACAAGACCCTGAGATACTTCTCAACCTGGAGAGGTCCAGGACCTGGAGAGGGCAAGGCACCTTTTTCCGGTCGAGCACCATGGCCTCAGATTTGGAGGTGCTGATTCTCATCCCAGCCGCTTCACACTCGGCTGCAAACCGTCCCAGTGCATGTTGTAGGTCCTGGTTCGTTGGAGCCAACAGGACAACATCGTCTGCAAACAGCAGAGATGAAATCCTGAGGTCTCTGAACCGGACCCCCTCCGGCCCCTGGCTGCGCCTAGAAATTCTGTCCATAAACACAGTGAACAGAACCGGTGACAAAGGGCAGCCCTGGCGGAGGCCAACATGCACCGGGAACAGGTCTGACTTACTGCCGGCAATGCGAACACAGCTCTGGCTCCGGTCATACAGGGACCGGACGGCCCTCAGCAGAGTAAGTAAGTAAGTAATCTTTATTTAGTAATCCAGAGGACTCCCGGAGAACCCCCCAAAGGACACCCGAGGGAATACAGTCGAACGCCTTCTCCAAATCCACAAAGCACATGTGGACAGGTTGGGCGAACTCCCATGAACCCTCGAGTATCCGATGGAGAGTATATGGGGAGTACAGGAGATTTGACCATCGGTCGTAGCCTCCTCTCCAGTACTGAGACTGAGGAGTGTGATCCCACAATGATTGGAACATACCCTTCTGTCCCCCTTCTTGTAGAGAGGGACCACCACCCCGGTCTGCCACTCCATTGGCACCGCGCCCGATCGCCACGCGATGTTGCAGAGACGTGTCAGCCAAGACAGTCCTACAACATCCAGAGACTTTAGAGTCAGGACGGATCTCATCCACTCTCGGCGACTTGCCACCAAGGAGGCTGCCAACCACCTTGGTGACCTCAGCCAGGGTGACAGAAGTATCCGCCCCAACATCCTCAGTCTCTGCCTCTGTAACGGAGGACGTGACGGGGGGTTGAGGAAAACCTCCAAGTATTCCTTCCACCGCCCGACAATATCCCCAGTCGAGGTCAGCAGCTCACCCCCGCACCGTACACGGTGTTGGCAAAGAACTGCTTCCCCCTCCTGAGGCGCCGGACGGTTTGCCAGAACCTCTTTGAGGTCGACCGATAGTCATGCTCCATGGACTCTCCGAACTCCTCCCAGTCCCGGGTTTTTGCCTCTGCAACAGCCCGGGCCGCGGCACGCTTGGCCAGCCGGTACTGGACAGCTGCCTTCTTACTTCCTGCTTTTGAAGAGAGCAGTCGTGTGTCTCTCTGCTCTGCTTTTGCTTCGCCTTTTAATCTCCTTGAATCATTTTATTTACATTTTTTTGTTTCTCCTTTAATCATTTTATTTACAAAACGAGGATTACTCCTTCTACACCCTTCAGCTTTGTGGAATTTATCAACTTTAGTCATGTCGGGACGAAAGAGACGGAGAAGCGTCTCAGCGGCGGCTGTTGTGCTCTGGAAAATCAGCTCAAATCTCTTCAAACACGGATATCTATTGTGGAAACAGAAATATGTAAGTTATGACGTCATTTCTTTTCCCAAAATCAACAATGAGAATTATTGGAACAATTGTGGAGCTAAACCCAAAGTTGACAAAGCTAATAATGACAATAGGAGTGAAATAAGGCCACAACTAAATGTTCTGAAGACTTCAAACCGCTTTTTACCCCTTTCTGAAACAACAAAGCCGCTAACAACTGCAGCGCCTCCACCAAGGACAAACTGTGTTCTTATCGGAGATGGTTCGGTGAAAAATGTAAACATGGAGTCCATGCTCACTGTCTCAGTTCACTCTGCAAAAGTTGCTGAGATAAGGTCTCTTCTGCCTAAAGTGTTATCTGAGAACAGTGGTGTGCGTACATTATTGATCCACACGGGGGCGGTAGATATCTATGAGAAGGCAAGCGAGAAGTTACGAATGGATTTAACGCTGTTACTGGATGACCTCAAGAAAATGGACATAACAATTTTCCTTAGTGGCCCACTTCCAAATATAGATGGAAAAATGGAGAAGTTTAGCCGTCTGTATCAGCTAAATACATTCCTACTCAATGAGTGTTCACGCAGAGGACTTGGCTTCATTGAAAACTTTAATCTGTTCTGGAATAGGCACGAGCTTTTTGAAGAAAAAGGCCCACATCTGAACAACTACGGAGTAAAAGTGCTGATGGATAACTTTGCATCTGCCCTAAGACCTCAGCCTGCGCAGCGCGTGCAGCCGTCGAAAGGGAGAAAGAAGAAGCAAAGGGCACAGACATCACGACCATCTCCACCGACTCCCGAGGTCTCTGCACCCCCACCACCTCAAAAGAACTCCACACCTTCACGATTCAAGAAGAACTCAACACCTCCAAGGTTCCAAAAGAACTCAACACCTCCACGGCTCCGAAAGAGCTCAACGCCTCCACCCCCAGCATCATCAGCAGCTGCCACATCTTCATCAGCGCCATCAGCATATACAGCACCACCAGCAGCAGTGGATACAGCAGCAGCAGTGGCTGCTTCATCATCTTCAGCAGCAGCAGTGGCTGCTCCATCATCTTCAGCAGCAGCAGTGGCTGCTCCATCATCTTCAGCAGCACCTTCCCCACCTACAGCTCCCGTGAAGCTTCCCCCACTGCTCCAGGCTACAGTCAGGCCTGTACTGGGGGTTCCTCAACCACCTCTGTCTCCACCAAAGACTCCCTCATCACCTTCCATGGACCCGGCTTGGGTCCCCCCCGCTACATCCACTCCATCTAGGGAAAATGAGGACGACCTTTCCCTTTGTTTTCTATCCCCGCCTTCACTACTGGATTTACCGGAACACTCTGCAGGCATGATAAGATCGGCGATGAAGACTATTCCTCTCACACCCACTGTAGCCAGATCAAGAGTCCTATCTAACATTCAAAACTACTCCCCATACGTACCTCCAAAGCCACCTAGGGCGTCCAACTCAAATTCTCCCACAAAATCCACCCGTCCCTCCTCTAACCCCATAAGTATTCCACCCCCCCCTCCTGCTCATTTAGCCCACCTCCCCCCTAACCCCAGCACCAAGAAACCCTCCACCTCCACTCCCCCCTCGTCCACCACCCAACTCAGCCTGCCCCTCCCCTAACCCATCACCAAAAACCCATCCACCTTCAACCCCCCCCCGTCCAACTCCCAAAAGCCACCCGCCTCTCCATCCTCCTCCCCTGCCTTCCCCTTCCCCTCATTTCTCTAAACACTAGGATGCACAGGGTCTCTGCTTCGCAGCCACTGGCAGTCTAGTTAGAGGAGAGACCCGGCTGGGGCCCTGTCATGAAGCCACCTGTGCCATTCCCTTAGTGATAACACAAAGAATACATTACAGAAAAACATCTGAAGTTAATCAGTCTAATCAGAAAAATCTAATTCTTGTTCCGTGTAAGAATCAGCCGACCACAACCGCTGATACTGAAACTTTGAAACTTGCTACGCTTAATGTCAGATCTCTTTGTAACAAGTCTTTTTTAATCAATAATTTTATTTGTTCTTATAATCTAGATCTTATGTTCATGGCTGAAACATGGCTTGACCAAAATACAGAAAATGCAGTTTTAATAGAAGCATCACCACCAAATTTCAAATTTGAATCTGAAATACGGGAAAACAAAAAAGGAGGAGGCTTAGCTGCCATTTTCAGAGACCACTTTGTCTCCCATAGAATGTCTCTTGGGAAGTTTCCGTCTTTTGAATATGTGTCTTTTAAAATACAACAAAAACAATCTCGTCCAATACTCTTCATTGTCCTATACAAGCCACCGCAGTCATGTCACAGATTTATTGATAATTTTACGGAGTTGCTTTCAGTTTTATGCACAGATTTTGATAGCTTAGTTATTACAGGGGATTTTAATATTCATGTGGATAATGTTATTGACAGAAAGGCAAAAGAGCTGAGTTCTGTTCTTGAATCTTTTGGTCTCACTCAGCATGTGAGTGGCCCCACCCACAGCAGAGGGCACACTCTAGACCTGTTAGTTACTAAGGGGGTGAATATTTCAAATGTAAACGTGGTCGATGTTGCGCTTTCGGATCATTTTTGTGTATTTTTTGACATGTGTTTCACTAACAAACCACCAGTGGACTCTGCAACTGTACGAAGAAGACACATAAATGAAAATACGGGTGAACTATTTATGGGAATGATAAACTTTTGAGAATGCATCGTATTCTACTGTAGATGAACTGTTTAACTCTGTCACCTCTAGTGTTTTGAATGTTCTGGACACCATCGCTCCTGTGAAGGTTAAAATAGTGAAAAATAAGCAGAAGGCGCCGTGGGCTAAAGCAGACTCGGTCAGGGCACAAAAGAGAGAGTGCCGGAGGGCCGAGCGGAAGTGGCGCAAGTCCAACCTCCAGGTTGATTACGAGATCTTCAAAGATAAGTTGTGCGAGTTTAACCAGGTGCTACGTAGTACGAGAGAAAGGTATTTTTCTGAAATGATTGAAGGCTGCAGCAACAATCTGCGTGTTCTGTTTTCAACAGTTTATAGATTAACAAACCCCCCTCTTCAGATGCCATTAGAGCTAACTTCCAAACGTAAATGTAATGAGTTTGCAAATTTTTTCAATGACAAGGTTCAAGGCATCAAAAACGCCATTGTCTCCAATCCACAGATAACAATCCAACAGCCAGAAAGGCTCTTTGAGCTAACTCACTTTGCACCTGTAAATGATCAAACTGTCCAAGAGATAATCTCCAGTCTGAGCGCCTCCACATGTAGCCTGGATGTACTACCCACTAGATTTCTGAAGTCTGTTCTGAGCAGTCTGTTACCTTCACTCACACAGATAGTAAACATGTCCCTTCAATCTGGAATATTCCCAAAGGCCCTGAAAACTGCAGTCATCAGGCCCCTGCTTAAAAAGAGCAGTCTGGATGCTACGGTACTTAACAACTATCGTCCCATCTCAAATCTGCCATTTATGGGGAAAGTCCTTGAAAAAGTTGTCTACCAACAGCTAAATAGATTTCTTATAATCAACAACTCATTTGATATGTTTCAGTCCGGCTTTAGACCCCACCACAGCACTGAGACTGCTCTCGTCAAGGTTACAAACGATATCCGGCTAAACACTGACGCAGGCAAAGTCTCAATCTTAATCCTGTTAGATCTGAGTGCTGCCTTTGACACTGTCAACCATGAGATCCTCTTACAGAGACTAGAGGACTGGGTTGGCGTCACTGGCACCGCCCTAAGTTGGTTTAGGTCTTACCTTGAGGACAGGAAGTACTTTGTGGAGATTGGAAACTGTGTCTCAGATCATATGGCCCTGACCTGTGGAGTACCACAGGGGTCGATCCTGGGACCTCTTCTGTTCAATCTCTACATGCTGCCGTTAGGTCAGTTAATACGCAGAAACAAAGTGTCCTATCACAACTATGCAGACGACACTCAGATCTATGTCTCACTGACTGCAGGAGAACATGGACCAGTGGACTCACTCCTTCACTGTATCCAACAGATCAGTGAGTGGATGCAAAACAACTTCCTTCAGCTAAACGCAGACAAAACTGAAATGATTGTCTTTGGTCCCCAGAAACAAAGAGAGAGCGTCATCTGTCACCTACAGTCTCTCTCCCTAAAACCTTCAAACAAGGTCAGAAATCTAGGGGTAATACTGGACTCAGACTTAAATTTTAATAGCCACATCAAATCAGTAACATCAGCAGCTTTTTACCATCTAAAAAACATTTCCAGGATCAAAAACATAGTGTCTAAAGCAGACCTGGAGATTCTTATCCATGCATTTGTCTCCAGTAGGTTAGACTACTGCAATGGCCTGCTCACAGGTCTGTCCAAACAGGCTGTAAAACAGCTGCAGTACATTCAAAATGCAGCAGCTCCAGTCCTGACTAGAACCAGGAAGTACGACCACATTAGTCCTGACTAGAACCAGGAAGTACGACCACATTAGTCCTGACTAGAACCAGGAAGTACGACCACATTAGTCCTGACTAGAACCAGGAAGTACGACCACATTAGTCCTGACTAGAACCAGGAAGTACGACCACATTAGTCCAGTCCTCAGGTCTCTGCACTGGCTTCCTGTGGCTCAGAGAATAGACTTTAAAACAGCTTTGCTTGTGTACAAGTCTCTCCATGGCCTCGCACCAAAATATATTAGTGACATGTTAGTCCCATATGAACCAGCCCGGACTCTGAGGAGCACAGGGACTGGACTCCTGCTGGGACTCTGAGGAGCACAGGGACTGGACTCCTGCTGGGACTCTGAGGAGCACAGGGACTGGACTCCTGCTGGGACTCTGAGGAGCACAGGGACTGGCCTCCTGCTGGGACTCTGAGGAGCACAGGGACTGGACTCCTGCTGGGACTCTGAGGAGCACAGGGACTGGACTCCTGTTAGTGCCCAGAGTCAGAACTAAACATGGGGAGGCTGCTTTTCAGATTCATGCTGCTAAAATCTGGAACATTCTTCCTGAAGATGTGAGACAGGCCTCCTCTCTGACAATGTTTAAAACCAAGTTAAAAACGGTGCTGTTTAGCTGTGCTACAACTGAGGGATTTTATATTTTTATCTTTCTTTTTAATGTTCTGTGATTATTTATGATTTTAATGCTATCTTGTTCAGCACTTTGAGTTGCCGTGTGTATGAATTGTGCTATACAAATAAACTTGCCTTGCCTTGCCTTGCCTGCCTCAGGAGTCCCCCGAACCATCATGGCTCGATAGGACTCCTTCTACAGTCTGACAGCATCCCTTACTGCCGGTGTCCACCACCGGGTTCGTGGGTTGCCACCGGGACCAGCACCAGAGACCTTGCGACCACAGCTACGAGCCGCCGCATCGGCGATAGAGGAAGAGAACATGGTCCACTCAGACTCAATGTCCCCCTCCTCCGCCGGGACCAGGGAGAAGCTCTACCGGAGGTGTGAGTTGAAAGTCCGTCTGACAGGGGGCTCAGCGAGACGTTCCCAGCAGACCCTCACTACATGCTTGGGTCTGCCAGGTCTGACCGGCTTCCTCCCCTGCCAGCGGATCCAACTCACGACCCTCTCTTTAGCCCCGCCCCTGTCTTCACCCGAGTGTTTGAGACACGCGGCCGAAATCGATGATCGACCTCCGGCCTCAGGTCCTGGCGCCCCCTGGTGGAACATGGTGTTGGTGATGGACAAACTGTGACACAGAAGTCCAACAACTGAACACCGCTCGGCTTCAGATCAGGGCCGTTCTTCCCCTTCACCCCTCTCCAAGTGTCACTGGCGTTTCCCACATGGGCGTTGAAGTCCCCCAGGAGAATAACGGAGTCCCCGGGCGGTGCACCATCCAGTACCCCTCCCAAGGACTCCAAGAAGGCCGAGTACTCTGCACTGCTGTTAGGCCCGTAGGCACAACAACAGTGAGAGACTTGTCCCCCACCCGGAGGCGGAGGGACGCGACCCTCTGATTCACCGGGGGAGAACGTGGCGGCTAAGATGGGGGGCAATGAGAATGGCCACCCCCGCTCGCCGCCTCTCCCCGCGAGAAACACCAGAAAAGTGGAGCATCCAACGCCTCTCGAGGAGTTGGGTTCAGAGCCCAAGCTGTGTGTGGAGGTGAGGCCGACCATCTCTAGGTATCTCTCAACCTCCCCCACGAGCTCAGGCTCCTTCCCCCCCAGTGAGGTGACGTTCCACGTCCCAAGAGCCAGATGTTGTGTGTGTGACTGGGTTGTCGAGGCCTCTGCCTTCGGCTGCTGCCCAGTCCTCTCAGCACCTCTCCACCACGGATCCCTCTGTGGGAGGTGGGTCCACAGGGGGGCCTGCCCACTGAGCTCTGGGCCCCTTGGGCTAAGGCCCGGCCCCCAGGCGCTCGCTTTCGAGCCCCAATCCCAGCCCTGGCTCCAGGGTCTGGCGCCATGCCAGGCGACGTCACAGGTTCTATCTTCGTGCTATCCATGGTGGGTTGCTAACTTCCTGTTACTTACAATGGAAATTAAAGAATTCCAGAGATAAATTAAAGACCAGAGAGAGACCAGAGAGAGACCAGAGAGAGACCAGAGAGAGACCAGAGAGAGACCAGAGAGAGACCAGAGAGAGAGACCAGAGAGAGACCAGAGAGAGACCAGAGAGAGACCAGAGAGAGACCAGAGAGAGACCAGAGAGAGACCAGAGAGAGACCAGAGAGAGACCAGAGAGAGACCAGCGAGAGACCAGCGAGAGACCGTACCTTGGATTGGTCCTCCTTGTAAATCTTGGCCACAGGTCCAAACAACAGAAGGTCCAGCCTGACTGTGTCTCTGGGCAGCAGCTCATACTCCACATGGAAACAGCCGCGCTCAGAGTGAGACTTCTCTCTGTCTGAGACAGTCATGGACCATGGATGGATGAAGTACTGTTTAATTATGTCTAACACTAGGACTCCCACATTACTCAGCACCGGTACGTGTTCGGTCTTCATAACATATATATGCAGTTTATTAATATTATTATCATTATTATTACTATTATTATGAAATTATCTTTTAAACATGGGCCCTATAGAGAGAGACCAGAGAGAGAGACCGGAGAGAGAGACCGGAGAGAGACCGGAGAGAGACCAGAGAGAGACCAGAGAGAGAGACCAGAGAGAGAGACCAGAGAGAGAGACCAGAGAGAGAGACCAGAGAGAGAGACCAGAGAGAGACCAGAGAGAGACCAGAGAGAGACCAGAGAATGACCAGAGAGAGACCAGAGAGAGACCAGAGAGAGACCAGAGAGAGACCAGAGACAGACCAGAGAGAGACAAGAGAGTGACCAGAGAGAGACAAGAGAGAGACCAGAGAGAGACCAGAGAATGACCAGAGAGAGACCAGAGAGAGACCAGAGAGAGACCAGAGAGAGACCAGAGAGAGACCAGAGAGAGACCAGAGAGAGACAAGAGAGTGACCAGAGAGAGACCAGAGAGAGACCAGAGAGAGACCAGAGAGAGACCAGAGAGAGAGACCAGAGAATGACCAGAGAGTGACCAGAGAGAGACCAGAGAGAGACCAGAGAATGACCAGAGAGAGACCAGAGAGAAACCAGAGAGAGACCAGAGAGAGACCAGAGAGAGTGACCAGAGAGAGACCAGAGAGAGACCAGATATGCAGTTATTGTCGTTATAAATGATAACGGTGCTTTGTGAATTGGGTGCAGTTCTGACCCCCCCTGAACCAGAAATGGATAATAAATGGATGAAAATGAATGAATGAATGAATGAATATTATGAAATCATTTTTGAAAGACGAGGAGGCGTCATTTCAGATTCATGCTAATATCTGGAACAGTCTTCCTGAAAATATGAGACAGACTTTTTCTCTGACAATGTTAAAATCCAGGTTAAACATTTTTCATTCACTAATTAGCTTTAACTTAAACTTATTTGTGAAACGTGAGCAGTTAGTTTCCATAGCAACAGACTGTTTACTTGTTTGCAGTTAGCATTAGCCTTTAAACAAACAGTTTTTAGGTTTTTTTTTACTTATATATTTATAACCTACATCGGTAAAAAAAATAAAAATGGTAAAATAATAATAATAATAATAATTGGGGGGGATTTCATTTAAAGGGAGCAGTCAAAATAACGGCTCAGACTGTGGGAATGTTAGCAGCAGGTTGTGGAGCTCGTACCTGGAGGAAAGGACAGAGCCGTGAAAAGAGTCAGTGAGACGGTCTCCTCCTCAGACTGAGCCACCTCCATCTGTCAGACACAGAATCCTGCAGAAAGAACCATCTCACGGTGAAATGTTGAGGTCCCGAGGCTGAGGCTACATCCGGGAACTTCAGACAAAACACCCAAAAAGTGGGTTTAAAGTTTCTGTGTCGTCATAGAGACCGCGTCACGTGACTCCGCTGCTTCCACCGTGACCCACCGGGAACATGTTTTATCTCCTCATTTAAAAGCCTGGAGAAGTTTGGATCTAGTTACGAATGTTCTGGAAACAGCAGCGAGTCTCAAGTTTCTCTGAGATATAGTTTTGTGATTTACAAACGTTCTTTTCTTGCTTTGTTCTGTCTGTAAATGTTCCTTCAGTAGTTTCTAGTTTTACACTGATCCAGAGCAGAGCGAACCACTGACGTCAAATCTGATTCCTGTCTTCTAACTTTCTCTCAGTCTCCGGTGAAGTTCCCGTGCGTGAACAATGTGTAAAATAAATGAGTAATAGTGGTTTATTTTCAGTATTATACGCGCACACGTAGGAGCGCACACGTAGGTTCTGTACGTGAAGGAGGTCGGAGCAGAATGAATGGGTGAAGCACCATCTGCTTGTGATTACACCGTCTGTGAGTGTGTGTGTGTGGGGGCAGTGCCTCTGCTGCTGCTGCTGCTGCTGCTGCTGCTGCTGCTGCTGCTGCTGCTGGAGCTGCTGCTGCTGCTGCTGGAGCTCCGCAGAACACGGGGCTGATCTGGGCTGGTCTGGGCTGGTCGGGGCTGGGGAAGAGGATGTGATGGATCCCGCAGACGGCACAGACCCGTACGGCCGCCCTGCGCGCAGGACGCAGTGGATCGTGAGCGTGTTGGCGTATCACTACGGCCTGGACCGAGGAGTGGAGAATGAGATCATAGTTCTAGCCACGGGTCTGGACCAGTACCTGCAGGAGATCTTCCACCACTTGGATTATCACGGAGAAGGAAAGATCCCGGTGGAGGACTATCAGATCCTGTGTGAAGTGTTGGGTCTGAGCGCAGACTCTGAGCTCCGGGCGGTGGATTGCCTCTCGGAGCTCTCCTTCAGACACTTCCACGCCAAACTGTGCGGATACTTCAGCTCCAAGGCGGGGTGTGAGTATGAGAGCGGACGGCTGCTGGTGCAGAAGGACAGTCCGCACATAGAGACTCAGATCCGCCTGAGGAGCCCCCTGCCCCGGGGCAGGAGGCTGTCTGTCCAGGGCAGCTGTGGCTGCAGAGGGGGCGCCTGTTCCCGGGAGTGTTATGAGGAGATCGTGGCTCTGGAGGAGGCGGAGGACCGTGTGTCCAAACTGGAGGAAGACAACGCGAACCTCCGGGAGCTCATAGAAGACCTGAGAGCGGCTCTGCAGAGCAGCGACGCCCGCTGCCTGGCCCAACAGGTACGTTACTATTACTCTAATACTCTGCCTGGCCCAACAGGTACGTTACTATTACTCTAATACTCTGCCTGGCCCAACAGGTACGTTACTATTACTCTAATACTCTGCCTGGCCCAACGGTACGTTACTATTACTCTATTACTCTAATACTCTGCCTGGCCCAACAGGTACGTTACTATTACTCTATTACTCTAATACTCTGCCTGGCCCAACAGGTACGTTACTATTACTCTATTACTCTAATACTCTGCCTGGCCCAACAGGTACGTTACTATTACTCTATTACTCTAATACTCTGCCTGGCCCAACAGGTACGTTACTATTACTCTATTACTCTAATACTCTGCCTGGCCCAACAGGTACGTTACTATTACTCTATTACTCTGCCTGGCCCAACAGGTACGTTACTATTACTCTATTACTCTGCCTGGCCCAACAGGTACGTTACTATTACTATATTACTCTGCCTGGCCCAACAGGTACGTTACTATTACTCTATTACTCTGCCTGGCCCAGGTAAAGTGGGTTTGACTCATGGTGCGACAGTAGCGATGTTCCTCAGTGTTTGATGTAGCACTTATTCTAAATATGATGTCATATCCAACAGCACTTTATCAGAAGGTACAACGAACCTGCTTCACTGCAAACAGATTGTGTGGATGATAAACACAGAGGTTCACAAAGGCCTCGGTTTCATTGGGCTCAGGGGTCAAAGGTCAGGACTAGGGTTAAGGAGAGGTTAAAGGTTACATCCAGGATCCTGACAGTTACTGTTACCATGGTGATGTCTGAGCTGCACTGGGAGAGAAACCCCCCTCAGTCAGTCTGCAACAGAGAGCTGCTGGGAGAGAAACCCCCCTCAAAGCCATGGCATCATCCTGATGTGTGGAAACATGTGCAAACTTTATTCTGTCCTCCACAGAAGCCAGTGGAGTGATTGTACCACAGGAGTTATGTGCTCTCTCCTTGTTCAGATCCTGCAGCTGTGTTCAGAACCAGTCATGACTCACCTCGGTCTTCTCTGGGTCTTTGCTTTGGTTTCATCGACAGTAAAACTGTGTCTGCTGCATCTGTGTCTGCATCTGTGTCTGCAGCTGTGTCTACAGCTGTGTCTGCAGCTGTGTCTGCAGAAGTGTCTGCAGCTGTGTCTGCAGCAGGAAGTGCAGCTGTGTGTGCAGCTGTGTCTGCAGCTGTGTTTGCAGCAGTGTTTGCAGCTGTGTCTGCAGTTTTGTCTGCAGCTGTGTCTGCAGCTGTGTTTGCAGCTGTGTGTGCACCTGTGTCTGCAGTTTTGTCTGCAGCTGTGTTTGTAGCTGTGTCTGTAGCAGTGTCTGCAGCTGTGGAAGTTAATGCCATGCTCTTTGATGATGTTGCTAACGACAGCATGTAGAGTGTGAATAGAATCGGTCCGAGTACCGAACCCTGGGGCACCCCAAACTTTACCTTAGAATGAAGCGACGAGTTTGATTCACGTTTACAGCCTCTGCAGAAGAATGTTGTGGTCTATAGGGTCAAATGTGGCACAGACACACACACACGCGCACACACAGAGACACACAGACACAGACACACACACATACACACAGACACACACAGTCAGACACACATACACACACACACAGACACACACACACACTCACTCACACACACACACGCGCACACACAGAGACACAGACACACACACACAGACACACACACACAGACACACACAGACACACACAGACAGACACACACACAGACACACACACTCACTCACCTTGTCTGTCTCATGTAGGGCGGCAGTAGCTCAGTTGGTAGAGCGTTGGCTTTTGAGCCAGAAGGTCGTGGGTTCAAGCCCCGCTCAAGACTTTCACCATCAACTCCCACGGACTACTGTCGTTGTGTCCTTGGCAAGACACTTAACCTCTGGGAACACCAGCCACAGTGGGGCGGCTGCGGCTGTGCCAAACTGTGCTTGTGTCCTTAGGCAAGACACTTCACCCCCATTGCCTAGAATGAGTCTGGTGTGTGTGTGAATGGTTGGTGGTGGTGGGAGGGGCCGATGGCACAGACTGGTTGCCTCGCTTCTGTCAGTGTGCCCCAGGGCAGCTGTGGCTACAGTAGTTTATCACCACCGTGTTTGGAGTGAATGAATAACATCACATGTGAAGCGTCTGTGAGTGTCCAGAAAAGCGCTATATAAAATCGATGCATTATTATTATTATTATGTGTCTGTGGCAGGTGGGGCTGTGGAAGAGTCTCTCTCGTCACGATCGAGACTGTTTCATTGCTCGACACAAACAAACTGAACAGAACAGTCCGAGGGGGCGGAGCCTGAGTGGGAGGGGGCGGAGCCTGAGGAGCCTGCTGCAGGAGATGCAGAGGCTGCGCAGCTCGCAGCAGCAGCAGCACCTGGAGGAAGCCCAGCTGTGTGTACAGCGGCTGCAGCACGAGGTGTGGAGCTGCAGACAGACCGTGGCGGCTTTAGAGCTCTGTAACCGAGCCCTGACCAAGGACCAGGAATCCATGAGGAGCAGAGCGGAGGAGGCGCGGCTCGCTCTGGTCTGTGCCCTCAGCAAAGTCAAAGACCTGGAGTCACAGGTCTCTGAGGTGCGGGGGCTGAAGGAGCAGGTCTGCAGGCTGCAGACACAGCTACACAACTACAGGTACCGGTACACAACTACACAACTACACATGTACAGGTACAGGTACACAACTACACAACTACACATGTACAGGTACAGGTACACAACTACACACGTACAGGTACAGGTACACAACTACAGGTACACAACTACACATGTACAGGTACACAACTACAGGTACACATGTACAGGTACACAACTACAGGTACACATGTACAGGTACACAACTACAGGTACACATCTACACGTGTACAGGTACACAACTACACAACTACACGTGTACAGGTACAGGTACACAACTACAGGTACACAACTACAGGTACACATCTACACGTGTACAGGTACACAACTACACAACTACACATGTACAGGTACAGGTACACAACTACACATGTACAGGTACACAACTACACAACTACACATGTACAGGTACACAACTACAGGTACACAACTACACATGTACAGGTACACAACTAAAGGTACACAACTACACATGTACAGGTACACAACTACACACGTACACGCACAGGTACACAACTACAGGTACACAGCTACACAACTACACACGTACAGGTACAGCTACACAACTACAGGTACACAACTACACACGTACACGCACAGGTACACAACTACAGGTACACAGCTACACAACTACACACGTACAGGTACAGCTACACAACTACAGGTACACACGTACAGGTACAGCTACACAACTACACAGCTACACACTTACAAGTGCAGGTACACAACTACACTGCTACACACAAAGAGGTACACAACTACACAGCTACACAGTTACAGGTACACACGTACAGGTACACAACTACACACATATAGCTGTTATTGTGTGTGTCAACGCAATGTGTCTGTTATTGTGTGCGTCGACGTGTGTGTGTGTGGTGTGTGAGACGGTGCGTGTCGGTGTGTGTGTGTGTCGACCTGTGTGTGTGGTGTGTGTGTGTCGACGTGTGTGGCTCCTGAGATTGTTCCGTGACGTTGTGTCTGTAGAAACAATTCGACAAACTGCAGGTTTTGCTTTCTGTGTTTATTTAAAGAAACTGGATATAAACACGGAGCAGAGCAGAGAGGTCTCAGCCTCAGCTTCAGTCTCAGCCTCAGCCTCAGCCTCAGTCTCAGCCTCAGCCTCAGCCTCATCCTCAGCCTCAGTCGCAGCCTCAGCCTCAGCCTCAGCCTCAGCCTCTGCCTCTGCCTCTGCCTCAGCCTCAGCCTCAGCTTCAGTCTCAGCCTCAGCCTCAGCCTCAGCCTCAGCCTCAGCCTCTGCCTCTGCCTCAGCCTCTGCCTCAGCTTCAGTCTCAGTCTCAGTCTCAGTCTCAGCCTCAGCCTCAGCCTCTGCCTCTGCCTCAGCCTCTGCCTCAGCCTCAGCTTCAGTCTCAGCCTCAGCCTCAGCCTCAGCCTCAGCCTCAGCTTCAGTCTCAGTCTCAGTCTCAGTCTCAGCCTCAGCCTCAGCCTCTGCCTCTGCCTCTGCCTCAGCCTCAGCTTCAGTCTCAGCCTCAGCCTCAGCCTCAGCCTCAGCCTCAGCCTCAGCCTCTGCCTCTGCCTCTGCCTCTGCCTCTGCCTCAGTCTCAGCCTCAGCCTCAGCCTCAGTCTCATTTATGAACACTTCAGAATTAGAATCATATTATTGTATTTTCTGTATTGTCAGTAACAGGAAGGCTCATGGAGTGAAAAGGTGAAGGCAAACGTTAAAAAAGTCCTAAACACAATGATGAAGTAAACACAGTGAGGGTCCCAGTTTAATCCAGTCGATCGGTCCGTTGTTACAGACGTTAGCTTTATATCCTCTCTCTGCTCATTTGCATATTCTCTCTCTGCTCATTTGCATATTCTTTTCTGGGGTCAGCAGTAAATAACTCACAGCTACAAAAGAAGTGCTGCAGCTCATCCATCCCACCTTCAGCTCCAGCACAATACACAGAGGAACCCCCACCCTCACCCCACCCTCACCCCAACCTCACCCCAACCTCACCCCACCCTCACCCCAACCTCACCCCAACCTCACCCCACCCTCACCCCACCCTCACCCCAACCTCACCCCAACCTCACCCCAACCTCACCCCAACCTCACCCCACCTCACCCCACCCTCACCCCACCCTCACCCCACCCTCACCCCAACCTCACCCCAACCTCACCCCACCCTCACCCCACCCTCACCCCACCCTCACCCCACCTCACCCCACCCTCACCCCACCCTCACCCCACCCTCACCCCACCCTCACCCCAAACTCACCCCCACCCTCACCCCACCCTCACCCCAACCTCACCCCAACCTCACCCCACCCTCACCCCACCCTCACCCCACCCTCACCCCACCCTCACCCCAACCTCACCCCACCCTCACCCCAACCTCACCCCACCCTCACCCCACCCTCACCCCACCCCCCACCCCAACCTCACCCCACCCTCACCCCACCCTCACCCCACCCTCACCCCAACCTCACCCCACCCTCACCCCAACTTCACCCCAACCTCACCCCACCCTCACCCCACCCTCACCCCAACTTCACCCCAACCTCACCCCAACCTCACCCCAACCTCACCCCAACCTCACCCCACCCTCACCCCAACCTCACCCCACCCTCACCCCACCCTCACCCCACCCCCCACCCCACCTCACCCCCCCTCACCCCAACCTCACCCCACCCTCACCCCAACTTCACCCCACCCTCACCCCAACCTCACCCCACCCTCACCCCACCCTCACCCCACCCTCACCCCAACCTCACCCCAACCTCACCCCACCCTCACCCCACCCTCACCCCAACCTCACCCCAACCTCACCCCACCCTCACCCCACTTCACCCCAACCTCACCCCAACCTCACCCCAACCTCACCCCAACCTCACCCCCCCACCCCTCACCCCACCCTCACCCCAACCTCACCCCAACCTCACCCCACCCTCACCCCACCCTCACCCCACCCTCACCCCACCCTCACCCCACCCTCACCCCACCCTCACCCCACCCTCACCCCCACCCTCACCCCACCCTCACCCCACCCTCACCCCACCTCACCCCAACCTCACCCACCCCACCCCCAACCTCACCCCAACCTCACCCCACCTCACCCCAACCTCACCCCAACCTCACCCCACCCTCACCCCACCCTCACCCCACCTCACCCCACCCTCACCCCAACTTCACCCCACCCCTCACCCCAACCTCACCCCACCCTCACCCCAACTTCACCCCACCCCTCACCCCACCCTCACCCCAACTTCACCCTCCCTTCACCCTGTGTCTGTGTGTGTCTGTGTGGGTCTGTGGATCTGTGTGTGTGTGTGTCTGTGTGGGTCTCTGTGGATCTGTGTGTGTGTCTGTGTGGGTCTGTGTGTCTGTGTGGGTCTGTGTGGGTCTGTGGATCTGTGTGTGTGTGTGTCTGTGTGGGTCTCTGTGGATCTGTGTGTGTGTCTGTGTGGGTCTGTGTGTCTGTGTGGGTCTGTGGATCTGTGTGTGTGTGTGTGTGTGTCTGTGTGGGTTTGGACGGAGCAGAGGAAGAGGAGTGTCCACCTTTCAATCTAAACAGTCTGAAGGTTTTACCTCAGAGCTGCTCGGGCTGTGTTTTATCTCTGTCTGTGAGAGAGACCTCTGTCTGAGAGAGAGACTTCTGTCTGAGAGAGAGAGAGACCTCTGTCTGAGAGAGAGAGAGAGACCGCTGTCTATGAGAGAGACCTCTGTCTGAGAGAGAGAGACCTCTGTCTGAGAGAGAGAGACCTCTGTCTGAGAGAAAGAGACCTCTGTCTGAGAGAGAGAGACCTCTGTCTGTGAGAGAGACCTCTGTCTGTGAGAGAGACCTGTGTCTGAGAGAAAGAGACCTCTGTCTGTGAGAGAGACCTCTGTCTGTGAGAGAGACCTCTGTCTGTGAGAGAGACCTCTGTCTGTGAGAGAAACCTGTGTCTGAGAGAAAGAGACCTCTGTCTGTGAGAGAGACCTCTGTCTGTGAGCGAGACCTCTGTTTCAGTCTCAGCCTCAGATTTTAGAGCAGTACGGTGGTTAGCCCTCTCGCTTCTCAGCAAGAAGGTCCTGGGTTCAAATCCTTGTTGGAGCAGGACCTTTCTGAGTTGAGTTTGCATGTTCTCCCCGTGTGAGAGACAAATACCCACAATTGTAAACCGCTTTGTGACTCTGGTCTGTGAAAGGCGCTATATAAATAAACATTACTTACTGACTATTGCTGCTTTCAGACCGGGTCATACTGCGACGACTTTTAATGCAGAGTTAATGGTGTCGCGCGTTTGAGCGTCGAACTTCATGTGCGCCTCTAGACACACATACTGCTGTTATATAAAGTCACCTCCGTGAACACATACTGCTGTTATATAAAGTCACCTCCGTGAACACATACTGCTGTTATATAAAGTCACCTCCATGAACACATACTGCTGTTATATAAAGTCACCTCCATGAACACATACTGCTGTTATATAAAGTCACCTCCATGAACACATACTGCTGTTATATAAAGTCACCTCCATGAACACATACTGCTGTTATATAAAGTCACCTCCATGAACACATACTGCTGTTATATAAAGTCACCTCCGTGAACACATACTGCTGTTATATAAAGTCACCTCTGTGAACACATACTGCTGTTATATAAAGTCACCTCCGTGAACACATACTGCTGTTATATAAAGTCACCTCCATGAACACATACTGCTGTTATATAAAGTCACCTCCATGAACACATACTGCTGTTATATAAAGTCACCTCCGTGAACACATACTGCTGTTATATAAAGTCACCTCCGTGAACACATACTGCTGTTATATAGAGTCACCTCCGTGAACACATACTGCTGTTATATAAAGTCACCTCCGTGAACACATACTGCTGTTATATAAAGTCACCTCCGTGAACACATACTGCTGTTATATAAAGTCACCTCCGTGAACACATACTGCTGTTATATAAAGTCACCTCCGTGAACACATACTGCTGTTATATAAAGTCACCTCCGTGAACACACACTGCTGTTATATAAAGTCACCTCCGTGAACACATACTGCTGTTATATAAAGTCACCTTCGTGAACACATACTGCTGTTATATAAAGTCACCTCCGTGAACACATACTGCTGTTATATAAAGACACCGTGAACACATACTGCTGTTATATAAAGTCACCGTGAACACATACTGCTGTTATATAAAGTCACCTCCGTGAACACACACTGCTGTTATATAAAGTCACCTCCGTGAACACATACTACTGTTATATAAAGTCACCTCCGTGAACACATACTGCTATTATATAAAGTCACCTCCGTGAACACATACTGCTGTTATATAAAGTCACCTCCGTGAACACATACTGCTGTTATATAAAGTCACCTCCGTGAACACATACTGCTGTTATATAAAGTCACCGTGAACACATACTGCTGTTATATAAAGTCCCCGTGAACACATACTGCTGTTATATAAAGTCTCAGACACAGAGACGCTGCAGAGCTGCATTATTGGAGAGGAACTTTACACAAAAAGCCGCTAGCTTAGCTACGTTAGCATCAAAGCCCCCCTGCTACTTCTGCCACTTCCAGTGGGCGCCACAGCAGCAGGACATCTGATGTGAAGACCCCTGTGTCTGAAAACTAGAGAATGTGCGTCTGGTGTGCGAGGCGTCAGCGTTCCAGCGGCGGCGGTGTGAACGCAGCTTCAGACTTCTGCCTCAGGCTTGTTAAAGTCCTTAAAGGCCTCACGCCACAGCTTCATAAATATCTCACGTTGGAGAAAGTATTTTATTTCTGCTGCTGATGAGTTAAAATCTACCACAGAACTCTGTAAAAGCACAAAGAACAAACCAGACCCAGAAAAGTCTGTGGTTTGTTCACAGTCAGATTATTGTAGATGACGCTTTGTGCTGATTGGCTGAGCAGCTTCATTTGTTTTCTCTCTTTTTAAATAACTATTAATCTATACAAGCTGTACATATGTGATCCTGGCTCTGGCCACACACAGGCACTGACAACACTCAGTGCTCAGTGACCCCCCCCCCCCCCCCACAGACTCAGTGACCCCCCCAGCAGAGACCGCCCCCACAGCAGCCCCTGATGGATGACCTCAGCTACATAAACATGACCTCTGACCCCTGTCATGCTGCAAGATAAACGTCTGCAACAAGTTCATGCTCAGGTCTGTGAGAGAACAGCACCTGAGGGAGGGGAGGGAGGGAGGGAGGGAGGGAGGGGGGGGGGGGGGAGGAGAGGGAGGGGGGGGGGGGGGGAGGGGGTTTGAAGAAAGCCGCCCTCATTAAACAAAGGAGGGCTCTAACCAAAAGCATCTGTGCCCATGGTCTGTACCCATGGTCTGTACCCATGGTCTGTACCTCCCACAGACACTTTCACTGCAGTTAAGAAGTTAAGCAGGGCAGGGCCTGATTAGTGCTGTGATGGGAGACCTCTGGGAACACCAGGTGCCACAGTGGGGCAACTGCGGCTGTAAAGTGACCTCTGTAATAAAGTGCTGGTCCTCAGCTGGGCTCACAGACCTCTAACAAAGTGCTGGTCCTCAGCTGGGCTCACAGACCTCTAACAAAGTGCTGGTCCTCAGCTGGGCTCACAGACCTCTAACAAAGTGCTGGTCCTCAGCTGGGCTCACAGACCTCTAACAAAGTGCTGGTCCTCAGCTGGGCTCACAGACCTCTAACAAAGTGCTGGTCCTCAGCTGGGCTCACAGACCTCTAACAAAGTGCTGGTCCTCAGCTGGGCTCACAGACCTCTAACAAAGTGCTGGTCCTCAGCTGGGCTCACAGACCTCTAACAAAGTGCTGGTCCTCAGCTGGGCTCACAGACCTCTAACAAAGTGCTGGTCCTCAGCTGGGCTCACAGACCTCTAACAAAGTGCCGGTCCTCAGCTGGGCTCACAGACCTCTAACAAAGTGCCGGTCCTCAGCTGGGCTCACAGACCTCTAACAAAGTGCTGGTCCTCAGCTGGGCTCACAGACCTCTAACAAAGTGCTGGTCCTCAGCTGGGCTCACAGACCTCTAACAAAGTGCTGGTCCTCAGCTGGGACTTTAAGCTCTAAGAGTTTACAGAGGTTCAGGACCTCAGACTGATCACCTCCTTTCTCTGTCAGTTCAAAAACACAACCTCTCGCTCCTGAGTTTGTCACCGTGGAAACAGAAACTCTTCCATTGCAGACGGCGCCGACATAGATCAGTTTAAGTCTAACTAATGTCGTAGATGAACCTCACAGGCCATAGTTATCTATCCAGACTCACACTCAGAGGCTTCACCTGCGTAGGCCATAGTTATCTATCCAGACTCACACTCAGAGGCTTCACCTGCGTAGGCCATAGTTATCTATCCAGACTCACACTCAGAGGCTTCACCTGCGTAGGCCATAGTTATCTATCCAGACTCACACTCAGAGGCTTCACCTGCGTAGGCCATAGTTATCTATCCAGACTCACACTCAGAGGCTTCACCTGCGTAGGCCATAGTTATCTATCCAGACTCACACTCAGGCTTCACCTGCGTAGGCCATAGTTATCTATCCAGACTCACACTCAGGCTTCACCTGCGTAGGCCATAGTTATCTATCCAGACTCACACTCAGGCTTCACCTGCGTAGGCTATAGTTATCTATCCAGACTCACACTCAGAGGCTTCACCTGCGTAGGCCATAGTTATCTATCCAGACTCACACTCAGGCTTCACCTGTGTAGGCCATAGTTATCTATCCAGACTCACACTCAGAGGCTTCACCTGCGTAGGCCATAGTTATCTATCCAGACTCACACTCAGAGGCTTCACCTGCGTAGGCCATAGTTATCTATCCAGACTCACACTCAGAGGCTTCTCCTGCGTAGGCCATAGTTATCTATCCAGACTCACACTCAGGCTTCACCTGCGTAGGCCATAGTTATCTATCCAGACTCACACTCAGAGGCTTCTCCTGCGTAGGCCATAGTTATCTATCCAGACTCACACTCAGGCTTCACCTGCGTAGGCCATAGTTATCTATCCAGACTCACACTCAGGCTTCACCTGCTGCGTAGGCCATAGTTATCTATCCAGACTCACACTCAGAGTCTTCACCTGCGTAGGCCATAGTTATCTATCCAGACTCACTCACTCAGAGGCTTCAGCTTCACCTGCGTAGGCCATAGTTATCTATCCAGACTCACACTAGCAGGCTTCACCTGCGTAGGCCATAGTTATCTATCCAGACTCACACTCAGAGCTCACCTGCGTAGGCCATAGTTATCTACCAGACTCACGTTCAGTAGCCATAGTTATCTATCCAGACTCACACTCAGAGGCTTCACCTGCGTAGGCCATAGTTATCTATCCAGACTCACACTCAGAGGCTTCACCTGCGTAGGCCATAGTTATCTATCCAGACTCACACTCAGAGGCTTCACCTGCGTAGGCCATAGTTATCTATCCAGACTCACACTCAGAGGCTTCACCTGCGTAGGCCATAGTTATCTATCCAGACTCACACTCAGGCTTCACCTGCGTAGGCCATAGTTATCTATCCAGACTCACACTCAGAGGCTTCACCTGCGTAGGCCATAGTTATCTATCCAGACTCACACTCAGGCTTCACCTGCGTAGGCCATAGTTATCTATCCAGACTCACACTCAGGCTTCACCTGCGTAGGCCATAGTTATCTATCCAGACTCACACTCAGGCTTCACCTGCGTAGGCCATAGTTATCTATCCAGACTCACACTCAGGCTTCACCTGCGTAGGCCATAGTTATCTATCCAGACTCACACTCAGGCTTCACCTGCGTAGGCCATAGTTATCTATCCAGACTCACACTCAGCGCGTAGGCCATAGTTATCTATCCAGACTCACACTCAGAGGCTTCTCCTGCGTAGGCCATAGTTATCTATCCAGACTCACACTCAGGGCTTCACCTGCGTAGGCCATAGTTATCTATCCAGACTCACACTCAGGGCTTCACCTGCGTAGGCCATAGTTATCTATCCAGACTCACACTCAGAGGCTTCTCCTGCGTAGGCCATAGTTATCTATCCAGACTCACACTCAGAGGCTTCACCTGCGTAGGCCATAGTTATCTATCCAGACTCACACTCAGAGGCTTCACCTGCGTAGGCCATAGTTATCTATCCAGACTCACACTCAGAGGCTTCACCTGCGTAGGCCATAGTTATCTATCCAGACTCACACTCAGAGGCTTCACCTGCGTAGGCCATAGTTATCTATCCAGACTCACACTCAGAGGCTTCACCTGCGTAGGCCATAGTTATCTATCCAGACTCACACTCAGAGGCTTCACCTGCGTAGGCCATAGTTATCTATCCAGACTCACACTCAGAGGCTTCACCTGCGTAGGCCATAGTTATCTATCCAGACTCACACTCAGGCTTCACCTGCGTAGGCCATAGTTATCTATCCAGACTCACACTCAGGCTTCACCTGCGTAGGCCATAGTTATCTATCCAGACTCACACTCAGAAGCTTCACCTGCGTAGGCCATAGTTATCTATCCAGACTCACACTCAGGCTTCACCTGCGTAGGCCATAGTTATCTATCCAGACTCACACTCAGAGCTTCACCTGCGTAGGCCATAGTTATCTATCCAGACTCACACTCAGAGCTTCACCTGCGTAGGCCATAGTTATCTATCCAGACTCACACTCAGAGGCTTCACCTGCGTAGGCCATAGTTATCTATCCAGACTCACACTCAGAGGCTTCACCTGCGTAGGCCATAGTTATCTATCCAGACTCACACTCAGAGCTTCACCTGCGTAGGCCATAGTTATCTATCCAGACTCACACTCAGAGCTTCACCTGCGTAGGCCATAGTTATCTATCCAGACTCACACTCAGAGGCTTCACCTGCGTAGGCCATAGTTATCTATCCAGACTCACACTCAGAGGCTTCACCTGCGTAGGCCATAGTTATCTATCCAGACTCACACTCAGGCTTCACCTGCGTAGGCCATAGTTATCTATCCAGCTCACATCACTCACAGGCCATAGTTATCTATCCAGACTCACACTCAGGCTTCACCTGCGTAGGCCATAGTTATCTATCCAGACTCACACTCAGAGGCTTCTCCTGCGTAGGCCATAGTTATCTATCCAGACTCACACTCAGGCTTCTCCTGCGTAGGCCATAGTTATCTATCCAGACTCACACTCAGGCTTCTCCTGCGTAGGCCATAGTTATCTATCCAGACTCACACTCAGAGGCTTCTCCTGCGTAGGCCATAGTTATCTATCCAGACTCACACTCAGGCTTCTCCTGCGTAGGCCATAGTTATCTATCCAGACTCACACTCAGAAACTTCGCTGCAGAACACTTCCTTAAACCTACAGATGTTTACTGTTGCTACGACGACACAATTTCCGCACATTTCCTTAAGTTTGGTCTAAAATGTATTGTCTTCGTTTGGAAACATTTATTCTGTGATTTATTCTGAGCTTTTGGATTTCCCTCGACACAGAAAACGCTCCGAGCTTTTTGGAAATTCTTTGTTTTCATGAAATGTGTTGTTTATTAAAGTCTACTTTGGTTTTTTAATAAAGGTTTAGATTTGTTCCAAGAATGACTTAAGTTGTGTTGTAAGTGTATGTACGCACACACACACACACAAATACACACACACACACAAATACACACACACACACAGACACACAAATACACACACACACACGCATACACATACAGTACAAACACACACACACAAACACACACACATACAGTATAAACACACACACACACACACATACAGTACAAACACACACACACACACACATACAGTACAAACACACACACACACAAACACACACACATACAGTATAAACACACACCCACACACACACACACACACACTGACCCACTTTACTGTACTGAAGGCCTCAGAGATACAGTCTGGATGCCATTACCACGCCCAGATCTGGCAACAACATCAGAGGCTGCTGTAAAACGAATGTAAACTCGATCCTCTCAGAGAAGGAGCCAAGATGGAGGACTGCGTTTTAGGGAAGAGGCCTCAGAGTCCCAGCAGGAGGCCAGTCCCTGTGCTCCTCAGAGTCCCAGCAGGAGGCCAGTCCCTGTGCTCCTCAGAGTCCCAGCAGGAGGCCAGTCCCTGTGCTCCTCAGAGTCCCAGCAGGAGGCCAGTCCCTGTGCTCCTCAGAGTCCCAGCAGGAGTCCAGTCCCTGTGCTCCTCAGAGTCCCAGCAGGAGGCCAGTCCCTGTGCTCCTCAGAGTCCCAGCAGGAGGCCAGTCCCTGTGCTCCTCAGAGTCCCAGCAGGAGTCCAGTCCCTGTGCTCCTCAGAGTCCCAGCAGGAGGCCAGTCCCTGTGCTCCTCAGAGTCCCAGCAGGAGTCCAGTCCCTGTGCTCCTCAGAGTCCCAGCAGGAGGCCAGTCCCTGTGCTCCTCAGAGAGCTCTTATCATCACCAGTGACTCTTCTGGCCCCTGGAAAAGCCATGTTCCAGCTTCTTCCCTCTGGCAGAAGATATTGTTGGCAGCGATGCAGGACATCTGGATATGCTAACAGGCTAACATGCTAAGAGCTTCTTTCAGCTGTTCTCAGTCAGAACAAAGCACTTTAATCATTCTTTGACTTTTTTTCTGTGCTTTTTCGCTTTTTTCATTCCTGTCCTTGTCTGGTGCACACTGGGGACTCTTGCACGTGTATTCCAATGTGGTTTTACTGCAAATGGCAAATATAGTGAATCTGGAGCGTCTCGTTTGTCTCACAGATCTGAGCTGCTGAAGCCTTCAATCAGGACGCAGCAACAAAGTGAAACACGGAGGTGCTGTTTGGACACGCAACACGACCGCTGCTCACCGACCGGACGTGCAGTGACCACGCCAGACACAAGTAAGACACACATGGTACAGAGCCTTACTGAGCACCTGGTAGTCTGGTCTTACCATGTGTAAACTCTGGTCCATGGTCATTTCCTACATGTACATCTGGTCATACCATGTGTAAACTCTGGTCCATGGAGAATGTGATAGTAAAATAATCTGTTCTGGTTCAATCCAAATATAAAGAAACTGAAGCCGGAGCAAGAGGAATGTTTAGTAAATGTCACTGCTGCAAAGTTGATGTGGCTCTACTCCCCACGGGCTCTGTTAGTGACAAAGGAGATGGCTAAAGCTAGGCTAACTGCTAAAGCTAGGCTAAATGCTAAAGCAAGGCTAATTGCTAAAGCTAGGCTAACTGCTAAAGCTAGGCTAAATGCTAACGACTCACTTGGGCTCATTACACACGTCACAGTAAACTCAGATCCAATGGTTTCAATCTGCAAAAGGAGTTAGCCCCTCCCATCTGTATGTGCTATAGAGGGCGACAGTGGCTCTGTGGTAGAGCATTGGCCTTTGAGCCAGAAGGTCGTGGGTTCGAGTCCACCACAAGACTTTTTCCACCGACTCCCACTGATGTCTGCTGTGGCTGTGTCCTTGGGCAAGACACTTAACCTCTGAACAGCAGGTGCCACAGTGGGGCGGCTGTAAAGTGCCAAACTGTGGTTGTGTCCTTAGGCAAGACACTTCCCCCACATTAGAATGAGTCTGGTGTGTGTGTGAGTGGTTGGTGGTGGTGGGAGGGGCTTCTGTCAGTGTGCCCCAGGGCAGCTGTGGCTACAGTAGTTTATCACTGCAGAGTTTGGAGAGAGAGGATAATGATGTGAAGAGACTTTGAGAGTCCAGAAAAGCTCTGTATAAAAAGATGCATTATTATTATTATTATTATTATTACGAAATGAAACTAGAAGGATGGTTTGGTAAGACCAGGCTAGGGTTGATCCAATATTGACTTTAATTGTCCATTGGTGTGTCCAAACAAAGGTAACCATAGAGAATGTTGTGTCCAGTGGAGGAGCAGCTGTTCCGGTCGGTGGAGGGTCAGGCCGCCTCCGACGAAGAGGACGACAAATGGACCAGTGAGAAACAGAAACACGTGGACGAAGTCAAGAAGATTCTGTCCAGATTCTCCTGCTGCAGAGACAGGTCCGTGTCCAGGACCAGGGTCTGAGTCTCAGTCTGAGTCTGAGTCAGGACCAGGGTCTGAGTCTGAGTCTGAGTCAGGACCAGGGTCTGAGTCTCAGTCTGAGTCTGAGTCAGGACCAGGGTCTGAGTCTGAGTCTGAGTCTGAGTCAGGACCAGGGTCTGAGTCTGAGTCTGAGTCTGAGTCAGGACCAGGGTCTGAGTCTCAGTCTGAGTCTGAGTCAGGACCAGGGTCTGAGTCTGAGTCTGAGTCAGGACCAGGGTCTGAGTCTGAGTCTGAGTCTGAGTCTGAGTCAGGACCAGGGTCTGAGTCTGAGTCTGAGTCAGGACCAGGGTCTGAGTCTGAGTCTGAGTCAGGACCAGGGTCTGAGTCTGAGTCTGAGTCTGAGGCAGGACCAGGGTCTGAGTCTGAGTCTGAGTCTGAGTCAGGACCAGGGTCTGAGTCTCAGTCTGAGTCTGAGTCAGGACCAGGGTCTGAGTCTGAGTCTGAGTCAGGACCAGGGTCTGAGTCTGAGTCTGAGTCTGAGTCAGGACCAGGGTCTGAGTCTGAGTCTGAGTCTGAGTCAGGACCAGGGTCTGAGTCTGAGTCAGGACCAGGGTCTGAGTCTGAGTCTGAGTCAGAACCAGGGTCTGAGTCTGAGTCTGAGGCAGGACCAGGGTCTGAGTCTGAGTCTGAGTCAGGACCAGGGTCTGAGTCTGAGTCTGAGTCTGAGGCAGGACCAGGGTCTGAGTCTGAGTCTGAGGCAGGACCAGGGTCTGAGTCTGAGTCTGAGTCTGAGTCAGGACCAGGGTCTGAGTCTGAGTCTGAGTCTGAGTCAGGACCAGGGTCTGAGTCTGAGTCTGAGGCAGGACCAGGGTCTGAGTCTGAGTCTGAGGCAGGACCAGGGTCTGAGTCTGAGTCTGAGTCAGGACCAGGGTCTGAGTCTGAGTCTGAGTCTGAGTCAGGACCAGGGTCTGAGTCTGAGTCTGAGGCAGGACCAGGGTCTGAGTCTGAGTCTGAGGCAGGACCAGGGTCTGAGTCTGAGTCTGAGGCAGGACCAGGGTCTGAGTCTGAGTCTGAGTCAGGACCAGGGTCTGAGTCTGAGTCTGAGTCTGAGGCAGGACCAGGGTCTGAGTCTGAGTCTGAGTCAGGACCAGGGTCTGAGTCTGAGTCTGAGGCAGGACCAGGGTCTGAGTCTGAGTCTGAGGCAGGACCAGGGTCTGAGTCTGAGTCTGAGGCAGGACCAGGGTCTGAGTCTGAGTCTGAGGCAGGACCAGGGTCTGAGTCTGAGTCTGAGTCTGAGGCAGGACCAGGGTCTGAGTCTGAGTCTGAGTCTGAGGCAGGACCAGGGTCTGAGTCTGAGTCTGAGTCAGGACCAGGGTCTGAGTCTGAGTCTGAGGCAGGACCAGGGTCTGAGTCTGAGTCTGAGTCAGGACCAGGGTCTGAGTCTGAGTCTGAGGCAGGACCAGGGTCTGAGTCTGAGTCTGAGGCAGGACCAGGGTCTGAGTCTGAGTCTGAGGCAGGACCAGGGTCTGAGTCTGAGTCTGAGGCAGGACCAGGGTCTGAGTCTGAGTCTGAGTCTGAGGCAGGACCAGGGTCTGAGTCTGAGTCTGAGTCTGAGGCAGGACCAGGGTCTGAGTCTGAGTCTGAGTCTGAGTCAGGACCAGGGTCTGAGTCTGAGTCTGAGTCTGAGGCAGGACCAGGGTCTGAGTCTGAGTCTGAGTCAGGACCAGGGTCTGAGTTTGAGTCTGAGGCAGGACCAGGGTCTGAGTTTGAGTCTGAGGCAGGACCAGGGTCTGAGTCTGAGTCTGAGGCAGGACCAGGGTCTGAGTCTGAGTCTGAGTCAGGACCAGGGTCTGAGTCTGAGTCTGAGGCAGGACCAGGGTCTGAGTCTGAGTCTGAGGCAGGACCAGGGTCTGAGTCTGAGTCTGAGGCAGGACCAGGGTCTGAGTCTGAGTCTGAGGCAGGACCAGGGTCTGAGTCTGAGTCTGAGGCAGGACCAGGGTCTGAGTCTGAGTCTGAGTCTGAGGCAGGACCAGGGTCTGAGTCTGAGTCTGAGTCAGGACCAGGGTCTGAGTCTGAGTCTGAGGCAGGACCAGGGTCTGAGAGAAGTGCAGTGTGTTTATGAACCTGTGTTTGTTCAGATGCGGCGACGAAGTGTTACGGCTCCGATCCACCTGTGGCACCACCTGCGGCACCACCTGTGGCACCACCTGTGGCACCACCTGCGGCACCACCTGCGGCACCACCTGCGGCACCACCTGCGGCACCACCTGCGGCACCACCTGCGGCACCACCTGTGGCACCACCTGCGGCACCACTTGCGGCACCACCTGTGGCACCACCTGCGGCACCACCTGTGGCACCACCTGTGGCACCACCTGCGGCACCACCTGCAGTGGAACGACTGAGTTGCTTCACAAAGTCTCCAAACTACACTCAGATCTGCAGGACCAGGAGAGACACGTACACCAGGACCAGGTAAGGACCAGGTAGACACCAGGACACATGCACCAGGACCAGGTAAGGACCAGGTAGACACCAGGACACATGCACCAGGACCAGGTAAGGACCAGGTAGACACCAGGACACATGCACCAGGACCAGGTAAGGACCAGGCAGACACCAGGACACATGCACCAGGACCAGGTAAGGACCAGGCAGACACCAGGACACATGCACCAGGACCAGGTAAGGACCAGGCAGACACCAGGACACATGCACCAGGACCAGGTAAGGACCAGGCAGACACCAGGACACATGCACCAGGACCAGGTAAGGACCAGGTAGACACCAGGACACATGCACCAGGACCAGGTAAGGACCAGGTAGACACCAGGACACATGCACCAGGACCAGGTAAGGACCAGGCAGACACCAGGACACATGCACCAGGACCAGGTAAGGACCAGGTAGACACCAGGACACATGCACCAGGACCAGGTAAGGACCAGGTAGACACCAGGACACATGCACCAGGACCAGGTAAGGACCAGGTAGACACCAGGACACATGCACCAGGACCAGGTAAGGACCAGGTAGACACCAGGACACATGCACCAGGACCAGGTAAGGACCAGGCAGACACCAGGACACATGCACCAGGACCAGGTAAGGACCAGGTAGACACCAGGACACATGCACCAGGACCAGGTAAGGACCAGGTAGACACCAGGACACATGCACCAGGACCAGGTAAGGACCAGGTAGACACCAGGACACATACACCAGGACCAGGTAAGGACCAGGCAGACACCAGGACACATGCACCAGGACCAGGTAAGGACCAGGCAGACACCGGGACACATGCACCAAGACCAGGTAAGGACCAGGCAGACACCAGGACACATGCACCAGGACCAGGTAAGGACCAGGCAGACACCGGGACACATGCACCAAGACCAGGTAAGGACCAGGCAGACACCAGGACCAGGTAAGGACCAGGCAGACACCAGGACACATGCACCAGGACCAGGTAAGGACCAGGTAGACACCAGGACACATGCACCAGGACCAGGTAAGGACCAGGTAGACACCAGGACACATGCACCAGGACCAGGTAAGGACCAGGTAGACACCAGGACACATGCACCAGGACCAGGTAGACACCAGGACACATGCACCAGGACCAGGTGAATGTGCGAGTGTCAGAATAATATACTCTGATGTTTAACCAATGCGTTTTCATTTACGCGTTTTATTTTCTTTAATTCACTTCAAGTAAATGTTTTCTTGTTTAGCCCAAAATCACAAGAGTAAATATCTCAGAGGACACAGCTGCTGAATTCACCAACACAGATTAGAGAATCAAACAGTTCAGACTTCTGCCTCCTGATTCAGTCGGCCCAGTTTCTCTGTAATAACTGTGTTTGTGTGTCTGGTGCAGAAGGCTCAGGGTGGCCCTCTGTGAGAGAGACCACAGCGAGACCAGAGCGAGACCAGAGAGAGACCAGTGAGAGACCAGAGCGAGACCAGAGAGAGAGTTCAGACTGATGAGAGAAACAGAGGGTTGTTGCCAAACTACAGACAGCTTCCAGAAACCACAGGGAAGCTTTAACCACCTGGTCCAGAGAGAGAGACCTGAGAGAGTCCAGAGATAGAGAGAGAGACCAGAGAGAGAGACCAGAGAGAGTCCAGAGATAGAGAGAGACCAGAGAGAGAGACCAGAGAGAGACCTGAGAGAGTCCAGAGATAGAGAGAGAGACCAGAGAGAGAGACCAGAGAGAGTCCAGAGATAGAGACCAGAGAGAGAGACCAGAGAGAGAGACCAGAGAGAGACCAGAGAGAGAGACCAGAGAGAGAGACCAGAGAGAGACTAGAGAGAGACTAGAGAGAGAGACTAGAAAGAGACTAGAGAGAGACCAGGGAGAGACCAGAGAGAGACCAGAGAGAGACCAGAGAGAGACCAGAGAGAGACCAGAGAGACCAGAGAGAGAGACTAGAGAGAGAGACCAGAGAGAGACTAGAGAGAGACCAGGGAGAGACCAGAGAAAGACCAGAGAGAGACCAGAGAGAGACCAGAGAGACCAGAGAGAGAGACTAGAGAGAGAGACCAGAGAGAGAGACCAGAGAGAGACCAGAGAGAGGGACCAGAGAGAGAGACCAGAGAGAGAGACCAGAGAGAGAGACCAGAGAGAGACCAGAGAGAGACCAGAGAGAGACCAGAGAGAGACCAGAGAGAGACCAGAGAGAGAGACCAGAGAGAGACCAGAGAGAGAGACCAGAGAGAGACCAGAGAGAGAGACCAGAGAAAGACCAGAGAGAGAGACCAGAGAGAGAGACCAGAGAGAGAGACCAGAGAGAGACCAGAGAGAGAGACCAGAGAGAGACCAGAGAGAGAGACCAGAGAGAGACCAGAGAGAGACCAGAGAGAGACCAGAGAGAGACCAGAGAGAGAGTTCAGACTGAAGAGAGGGGACAGACCAGCATCTGGTCTAGGATCTGGTCCAGAGCCTGGGTGTGTGCACAGCTGCCTCTCACTGCGCTCACCACATAAACACACTCGTCCCATTTGTCTCCTCACAATTAAAGATGTTTCTGCAGAGTTTAAAAACACAGGTTCAGTGTCGTGTGTTTTTATTCAGACAGAAAATGGTCTTTCTGTGGTCTACAGCCTCAGTCCTGGGTCTACAGCCTCAGTCCTGGGTCTATAGTCTCAGTCCTGGGTCTACAGCCTCAGTCCTGGGTCTACAGCCTCAGTCCTGGGTCTGCAGCCTCAGTCCTGGGTCTACAGCCTCAGTCCTGGGTCTACAGCCTCAGTCCTGGGTCTGCAGCCTCAGTCCTGGGTCTACAGCCTCAGTCCTGGGTCTATAGTCTCAGTCCTGGGTCTACAGCCTCAGTCCTGGGTCTACAGCCTCAGTCCTGGGTCTACAGCCTCAGTCCTGGGTCTACAGCCTCAGTCCTGGGTCTGCAGTCTCAGTCCTGGGTCTACAGCCTCAGTCCTGGGTCTACAGCCTCAGTCCTGGGTCTACAGCCTCAGTCCTGGGTCTACAGCCTCAGTCCTGGGTCTACAGCCTCAGTCCTGGGTCTACAGCCTCAGTCCTGGGTCTACAGCCTCAGTCCTGGGTCTACAGCCTCAGTCCTGGGTCTATAACTGTTGGTGTTCCTGTTTAGGCCACAGGAGAGAGAGGATGGATCATTCATTCATAGTTTGATGCAGACGTGTTCCTCAGTCCGCGGTCTCTGAAGTGCAAACATCTGGAAGTTTCAGGAGTCCACGGAGCAGCTGCTGCAGAAGGACGAGGAGAGGCGGCTGGGGGCGGAGCTTCGGAGGCTGGGGGCGGAGCTTCGGAGGCTGGAGGCGGAGCTTCAGAAGCAGGAGGCGGAGCGAGGACGACTGTCTCTGGTCGAGGACAAACTCTTGGACATCCTTCAGCTCCTACAGCAGCTGCGAGAACTGGTAAGACCAGAGAGAGACCAGAGAGAGACCAGAGAGAGTCCAGAGAGAGACCAGAGAGAGACCAGAGAGAGACCAGAGAGAGACCAGAGAGAGACCAGAGAGAGTCCAGAGAGAGACCAGAGAGAGACCAGAGAGAGACCAGAGAGAGACCAGAGAGAGACCAGAGAGAGACCAGAGAGAGACTAGAGACCAGAGAGAGACCAGAGAGAGACCAGAGAGAGACCAGAGAGAGACAGAGACCAGAGAGAGACCAGAGAGAGACAGAGACCAGAGAGAGACCAGAGAGACCAGAGAGGGAGACCAGAGAGAGAGACCAGAGAGACCAGAGAAACCAGAGACAGAGACCAGAGAGAGACCAGAGAGACCAGAGAGGAAGACGAGAGAGAGAGACGAGAGAGAGAGACGAGAGAGAGAGACCAGAGAGAGAGACCAGAGAGAGAGACCAGAGAGACCAGAGAGAGACCAGAGAGAGACAGAGACCAGAGAGAGACCAGAGAGAGACCAGAGAGAGAGACCAGAGAGAGAGACCAGAGAGAGACCAGAGAGAGAGACCAGAGAGAGACCAGAGAGAGACCAGAGAGAGACCAGAGATTTTCTAAACGTTCTTGTTCCAAATGTTTAAAGCTCAGAATTGCGTCGTAACAAAATCCTGAACTCATTTAAAGAGAGAAACGAACCCATGTTTTTAACGAGCTGAAACCGCAGGACGTGTTTCTTCACATCTCTGAGAATAACGCTCCTTTGTTCCAGGACGTGTCCCGCCGCTCTCTGGGGAAAATCCTGCTCAGCACTTTGGGGTCTCGTCGGGACCCTCAGCTCGGTGAGTCCCGCTCTCACACCCAATAAAACCCAGGCAGGGTCTCGCAGCCACAGACGAGAGAGACTTCACTTAGAGGAGACTCAGCAAGAAATGTGCTTTATATGAAACTTGTTTTAACATTGTGAGAGATCAGGAGAGAGACCAGAGAGAGACCAGAGAGAGACCAGAGAGAGACCAGAGAGAGACCAGAGAGAGACCAGAGAGAGACCAGAGAGAGACCAGAGAGAGACCAGAGAGAGACCAGAGAGAGAGACCAGAGAGAGACCAGAGAGAGACCAGAGAGAGACCAGAGAGAGACCAGAGAGAGAGACCAGAGAGAGAGACCAGAGAGAGACCAGAGAGAGACTAGAGAGAGACCAGAGAGAGACCAGAGAGAGACCAGAGAGAGAGACCAGAGAGAGACCAGAGAGAGACCAGAGAGAGACCAGAGAGAGACCAGAGAGAGAGACCAGAGAGAGACCAGAGAGAGACCAGAGAGAGAGACCAGAGAGAGATCAGAGAGAGAGACCAGGAGAGCGACCAGAGAGAGAGACCAGAGAGAGACCAGAGAGAGAGAGAGACCAGAGAGAGACCAGGGGGAGACCAGAGAGAGACCAGTGAGAGACTAGAGAGAGACTAGGGAGAGCCAGAGAGAGAGAGACCAGAGAGAGACCAGTGAGAGACAAGGGAGAGGCCAGAGAGAGACCAGAGAGAGGCCAGAGAGAGACCAGAGAGAGACCAGAGAGAGACCAGAGAGAGGCCAGAGAGAGACCAGAGAGAGACCAGAGAGAGGCCAGAGAGAGACCAGAGAGAGACCAGAGAGAGGCCAGAGAGAGACCAGAGAGAGACCAGAGAGAGACCAGAGAGAGGCCAGAGAGAGGCCAGAGAGAGGCCAGAGAGAGACCAGAGAGAGACCAGAGAGAGACCAGAGAGAGACCAGAGAGAGACCAGAGAGAGACCAGAGAGAGACCAGAGAGAGACCAGAGAGAGACCAGAGAGAGACCAGAGAGAGAGACCAGAGAGAGACCAGAGAGAGACCAGAGAGAGACCAGAGAGAGGCCAGAGAGAGACCAGAGAGAGACCAGAGAGAGACCAGAGAGAGACCAGAGAGAGACCAGAGAGAGACCAGAGAGAGAGACCAGAGAGAGACCAGGAAGAGGCCAGAGAGAGACCAGAGAGAGACCAGAGAGAGTTGTGAAAAAATATTGGAACAATTGTGTTGTTCCTAATAATAAAATGTGCCTTTACAATCATAAAAACATCTGCAGATCTTTTGTTAAATGTTTATAATAAAGTAAAACCATCAGCGTGAGAAACTTTCCACAGCAGGAAATGTCAGTGTTGCACCATCAGTCACAGAGCAGCACGAGCAGCACACTGCCCAAGATGAAACACAATAACTCTGTTCTAACATAAAATAACATCTCTGTCTCTGCATAATAAATAATCAAATATAAAATCTCTAACTCTGGCATAAAACCTTCACACCTACTCCCCCTGGTGGCAGTGGAGGGAGTTACAGCGTGTGTTAAACAAACGCACCTGCTCCCCCTGGTGGCAGTGGAGGGAGTTACAGCGTGTGTTAAACAAACGCACCTGCTTCCCCTGGTGGCAGTGGAGGGAGTTACAGCGTGTGTTAAACAAACGCACCTGCTCCCCCTGGTGGCAGTGGAGGGAGTTACAGCGTGTGTGAAACTTCTGTTTCTCTGCTCTAGACTTTATGTCACGTTCTTTTTCCGCAGGTAAAGACCACGTTCTGGAGGTTCTGAGCGCTCTGCACCAGGAGCTGTCTGTGTGTGAGGGCCTGTCCCGCGGGGGGCCCCTGACCAGCGGGGGGCCCCTGAAGAGGACCCAGAGTCAGCAGTCTCTGAACTCCCTCTTTATCACCTGTTGAACCACAGCGCCTCCTGCTGGATGTTTGGATCAGGCTTTTTACTGGACACTTGTGACACGTTACTTTTGTAGATTTGTACATTTTATTAACTTTATATTTGTTACTAAGTTTCTACTTAAACAACATTAAAATATATCCTAACTTAGTTTTGTATTATTTAGACTTTTCTAACGCTCTTCTGATGTCTAAAGCCTATAAACAACTTTCTGCACTAAACCAATAAATATTTGTGTTTTTATTTTCTCCAGAATAAAGTTTTCATTAAAGGTATCTTTATGACGTCATTATTTACAGTTTGTGGTAAATACTCAACATTCTGTAGTTTTCTTGAACTTATAAAAAGAACTCTCGCGATAGACGCGCTCCTCTGTCTGCACGTGTGCACGAGCACGCGCGCGTTGCTTAGCGACCGGACGCGCTCCTTTGATCTCTCCTGCCCCGGAACTCCAGCACACGGAGGATACTTTTACTCTAACAGTAAAATAATAATAATATAATTATAATAATATCATAAAATGGCGGCTGTTGTGGCGCAGCCTCATCACGTGTTCGGCCTCCGCTCCGTCAACAACAACGTCTTCTTCACTGACGAACACACCGTGGTCTTCATCAGCGGCAGCAACTGTGTGAGCCACAACTGCGCCCTGCGGACCCAGAAGTTTACCCCAGGTACCGAGGCTTATCACAGGTACAGGGCCAGAAGTTTACCCCAGGTACAGAGGGTTATCACAGGTACAGGGCCAGAAGTTTACCCCAGGTACAGAGGGTTATCACAGGTACAGGGCCAGAAGTTTACCCCAGGTACCGAGGCTTATCACAGGTACAGGGCCAGAAGTTTACCCCAGGTACAGAGGGTTATCACAGGTACAGGGCCAGCGGGTTATCACAGGTACAGTACCAGAGGGTTATCACAGGTACAGGACCAGAGGGTTATCCCAGGTACAGGACCAGAGGGTTATCACAGGTACAGGGCCAGAGGGTTATCACAGGTACAGGACCAGAGGGTTATCACAGGTACAGGGCCAGAGGGTTATCACAGGTACAGGACCAGAGGTTTATCACAGGTACAGGACCAGAGGGTTATCACAGGTACAGGACCAGAGGGTTATCACAGGTACAGGGCCAGAGGGTTATCACAGGTACAGGGCCAGAAGTTTACCCCAGGTACAGAGGGTTATCACAGGTACAGGGCCAGAGGGTTATCACAGGCACAGGGCCAGAAGTTTACCCCAGGTACAGAGGGTTATCACAGGTACAGGGCCAGAGGGTTATCACAGGTACAGAGGGTTATCACAGGCACAGGGCCAGCGGGTTATCACAGGTACAGTACCAGAGGTTTATCACAGGTACAGGACCAGAGGGTTATCACAGGTACAGGACCAGAAGTTTACCCCAGGTACAGAGGGTTATCACAGGTACAGGGCCAGCGGGTTATCACAGGTACAGTACCAGAGGTTTATCACAGGTACAGGACCAGAGGGTTATCACAGGCACAGGGCCAGAAGTTTACCCCAGGTACAGAGGGTTATCACAGGTACAGGGCCAGAAGTTTACCCCAGGTACAGAGGGTTATCACAGGTACAGGGCCAGAGGGTTATCACAGGCACAGGGCCAGAAGTTTACCCCAGGTACAGAGGGTTATCACAGGTACAGGACCAGAGGCTTACCACAGGTACAGGACCAGAGGGTTATCACAGGTACAGGACCAGAGGGTTATCACAGGTACAGGACCAGAGGGTTATCACAGGCACAGGGCCAGAAGTTTACCCCAGGTACAGAGGGTTATCACAGGTACAGGGCCAGAGGGTTATCACAGGCACAGGGCCAGAAGTTTACCCCAGGTACAGAGGGTTATCACAGGTACAGGGCCAGAGGGTTATCACAGGTACAGAGGGTTATCACAGGCACAGGGCCAGAAGTTTACCCCAGGTACAGAGGGTTATCACAGGTACAGGGCCAGAGGGTTATCACAGGTACAGGACCAGAGGGTTATCACAGGTACAGGGCCAGAGGTTTATCACAGGTACAGGACCAGAGGGTTATCACAGGTACAGGACCAGAGGGTTATCACAGGCACAGGGCCAGAAGTTTACCCCAGGTACAGAGGGTTATCACAGGTACAGGGCCAGAGGGTTATCACAGGCACAGGGCCAGAAGTTTACCCCAGGTACAGAGGGTTATCACAGGTACAGGGCCAGAGGGTTATCACAGGTACAGAGGGTTATCACAGGCACAGGGCCAGAAGTTTACCCCAGGTACAGAGGGTTATCACAGGTACAGGGCCAGAGGGTTATCACAGGTACAGAGGGTTACCTCAGGTACAGGACCAGAGGGTTATCACAGGTACAGAGGGTTACCTCAGTTACAGGACCAGAGGGTTGTCACAGGTACAGGACCAGAGGTTTATCACAGGTACAGGGCCAGAGGGTTATCACAGGTACAGAGGGTTGTCACAGGTACAGGACCAGAGGGTTATCACAGGTACAGAGGGTTACCTCAGGTACAGGACCAGAGGGTTGTCACAGGTACAGGACCAGAGGGTTATCACAGGTACAGAGGGTTACCTCAGGTACAGGACCAGAGGGTTATCACAGGTACAGGACTCATATACATTTAAAGCAGCTTTACTGTGTTTGTCTCAGTCTCGGACTCGGACCTCAGAGCCCTGACCCTCAGCGCAGACCACAGGTACCTGGCCTCATCAGAGACCGGAACCACCGCCACCATCACCGTGTTCGACCTGCAGCACGAGCAGGGCCGGAAGAGGAAGGTCCTCACTGCGGGGGGCCTCAGCGCGGGGGGCCCCCAGGACTTTACCTGCCTGGCCTTCTCCTCTGACACCAAGCTCCTCCTGGCTCAGAGCTCGGCCCCGGACTGGCTCCTGGTCCTGTGGCTCTGGGAGAAACAGAAGGTTCTGGCTACCGTGGCAACAGGAAGCTCCAACAACCCCATCACCAGGGTGAGGGAGAGGGGAGGGGGGAGGGAGGGAGAGGGGGGACACCCTGTGATCTCGTGTCTATGATCTCGTACCTGTGATCTCGTACCTATGATCTCGTCCCTGTGATCTCGACAGGTTAGCTTCAACCCGTTCAACAGCTCGCAGGTGTGTGTTAGCGGCAGAGGCGTGCTCAGACTGTATCGTTACGCAGAGGGCTCCCTGAAGCAGACCAGCGTCCCCAAAGTGGACCATGTGAACTTCCTGTGCCACACATGGTTGTCCCGGGACCAGGACCAGGTGGTGGCCGGGACTGACTCCGGACGACTCCTCATCTTTGAATCTGGAGAACTGCGACGAGAAATCAACCTCAACAATGCCTCTGTCACAGAGAGAGTGGACAGGTCAGAGATGTGCCTAACTGTGTGTCCTTAGGCAAGACACTTCCCCCACATTAGAATGAGTCTGGTGTGTGTGTGAATGGTTGGTGGTGGTGGGAGGGGCTTCTGTCAGTGTGCCCCAGGGCAGCTGTGGCTACAGTAGTTTATCACCACCGTGTGAAGAGACTTTAAGAGTCCAGAAAAGCGCTGTATAAAACGCTGTATAAAACGCTGTATAAAACGCTGTATAAAACGCTGTATCAAAGTGTGTTTGTTCTTAGGCCTGTGGAGATGAAGAGGATGAAAGACTGTGATGAAGAGGAGAGCTGCAGGATGAAGGTCACGGCGGTCGTGTCGATGTCCAAAGGTTTTGCTTGTTCTTCAGGACCAGGAACCGTGAGTCTGTTCGAGAGGACGAAGGAGGACGGCTACAGGCGGAGGCAGGACGTACTGGTAACTCTAACACGAGAACTCTCTGAGCAGTCAATTTGACGGCTTTTTGTTTTGGAAATAATCACTCCTCTCATGTGGGGTTCATAACTTTGTGGCTTTTTCTGTCTCTATGTTTAGTTTATTTATGTCATTATTATCTCTTAATTGAGAAGTAGTAGTAGTAGAAGTAGTAGTAGCAGCAGCAGCAGTAGTGGTAGTAGTAGTAGGAGTAGTAGTAGTAGTAGACTCTGGCTATGGTAACCAGACTTTTTCAAGTGCTGGTTACTATAGCAACACACATTTCCATTGAGCATTAGCGTTAGCATTTAAACAAACTGTTTTTCTATATTCCAGTTTATAATCCCCAGTTTTAGCACTTGTTTAAAGTGAGTAAAGGTCAAATTTGAAGAAAACGACGGTAAACTCACAATTTGAATGACACACACTCTTCTCTCCTGCTTTGGTTCAGATCCCCTCAGACTCCTGGGGGTCGGAGCTGGTCCCAGCGGAGTCCCAGCAGATCCACAGCCTCAGCATCAGTCCCTCAGAGGACTCACTGGTCCTCAGCACGGACACAGGACAGCTCTACTCTGTGTCTCTGTCCAAACACAAGGTCAAGGTCAAGGTTCCTGTACCTCTGGTCTCTCTCTGCTCACTCTGGTCTCTCTCTCTGGTCTCTCTCTCTCTGGTCTCTCTTTCTGGTCTCTCTCTCTGGTCTCTCTCTCTGGTCTCTCTCTGCTCACTCTGGTCTCTCTCTCTGGTCTCTCTCTCTCTGGTCTCTCTGGTCTCTCTCTGGTCTCTCTCTGCTCACTCTGCTCACTCTGGTCTCTCTGGTCTCTCTCTGCTCACTCTGGTCTCTCTGGTCTCTCTCTGCTCACTCTGGTCTCTCTCTCTGGTCTCTCTCTCTCTGGTCTCTCTGGTCTCTCTCTCTGGTCTCTCTCTCTGGTCTCTCTCACTCTGGTCTCTCTCTGCTCACTCTGGTCTCTCTCTCTGGTCTCTCTCTCTCTGGTCTCTCTCTGGTCTCTCTCTGCTCACTCTGCTCACTCTGGTCTCTCTCTGCTCACTCTGGTCTCTCTGGTCTCTCTCTCTTGTCTCTCTCGCTCTGGTCTCTCTCTGGTCTCTCTCTGGTCTCTCTCTCTGGTCTCTCTCTCTGGTCTCTCTCTGGTCTCTCTGGTCTCTCTCTCTGGTCTCTGGTCTCTCTCTACCCTCTCTCTGGTCTCTCTCTGGTCTCTCTCTGGTCTCTCTGGTCTCTC